TGTAGAGGTACCATAATCTACTTAACATGTTGGTTGTATTTTTCTCTTCTTTTCTCCACTTCTCTCCTCTCTTCTATTTTTTTCTTTCAGATAGGGTCTTGCTATGCATCCCAGGCCAGGCTTAAACTCACTTTATATCACAGGCTGACTTTGAATTTGTAATCCTTCTGCCTCACCCTTCTCAGTGCTGAGATTACAGGCATGTGTCACCAGACCAACTCTCACTGGTTATTTTAGCTTCTTAATATTATAGTCAAGTCTAATAAACAAATGTCCACATATTTCATTTTGCACATACACCTATAGGGAGGGTGATCTCCTAGAAATAGCATACCAAAGACTTTAGGAATTTGCAATTATGATAAGTATTCCTTCTTAGAACCTGTACGAATTTATATTTTCACAAGTAACATACAATAGTAGACAACTAATTTTATATTTAGGTCAAATAATTCCCCCAATTTTTTTATTCTGTTGCTTCGAAAATATTTTAATATATGCTAATTTGTTTCATTTATACTTCTAAAGTCTTTAGTTAAGAAAATTTTTGTGCTATTATCTGTTAATTATGAGTCTTTGTCTATGACTTGTTCTTTGAGTAACATTTGCTCATTCTTTTAAGAGTATGAAAAAAGAATATGATACAGTGTATTAACTATTATAATTTTCTATTTTGCTTTGAAATTTTGGTTTATTTTCTCATAGATGAGTGCATTTTTATATTTTCTTTATTAATATCTACTTGTAATACATTTAAAAAATCACAATGAAATAATATTCCCCACAGGGTCTAAGTTGCCCAGGTTGTCTTGAAGCTTTTAATCTTGCTGCCTCAGCCTCTAGAGTAGTTGCACCCTTACCACAATGGGAACCTTGGTTAGTTTTAAATCAGTTGTTTCCTTTTTATTCAGCTGTCTATATTCCAAATATATTTTTTGTTTGGTTGGTTTTAGTATTTTGAGATAGGCTGCTGCTATGTAGTTCAAGCAGGCCTTGAACTTGTAATCCTCCTGCCTCAGCCTCCGGAGTGTTGGGATTATAAGCATGTGCTACCATTACTGGTGAGCTCCTTATATATTACAGTTTTCAAATATTTTCTCCTGTTCTATAAATTGTCTCTTCATTCTGTTTTTCCTTTGCTGTGCACAAAGTTTTTTTATATTTTGCTGAAATAGTATTTGTCTAATTTTGCTTTTGTTGTCTGTGTTTGTGAAGTCAAATCCTAGAAAAAAACATTGTCTTTTTCCTTTTTATCGGTACCAGGGATCAAACTCATGACTGCCTGCTTACAAGGCAGGCACTTATGCTGCTGAGCTAAATCCCCAGCCCCAACAGTTTGAGGTCTTATGTAAGTCTTTGATCCCTTTTGAGTTGATGTTTATATAATACTCCACATTTTAAAAATGACTTTACAAGGCTCAAGAGTAAATCTACTATGAATATTGCATTACCATATGTGAAGGATAGAACTCATTTAATACTGATCAATGAACACCCTTTAAGTATCATTTTTTCCTACATATTCATATATAAGATAAAGTTTAGTTTATATAGTATAGTTAAGAGATTAATTGCAACAAATAACAAAACAGAACAATTCTAACAACATGTTATAATAAAAGTTATGTGAGTGTGGTTGGCCATTCTTGCTCACAAAATATTTTACTGTACTGTACTCACCTTTCTTTTTGTTGCCTATAAGTAACTAGATGCTATGGTATTATCAAGGGATCTGATTCATGGTTAATTTTTTTTTTTTGAGACAGCATAATACTTGGTATAGTTCAGGATGCCTTGAACTCACGAGGGTGCACCATCATGCCAGGCAATGGTAATTAATTTCTTTCTTTCCTTTTTTGTTTCTTTTTTGAGACAGGATCTTGTTATATAGTTCAGGCTAGCTTTAACTCAGTAGGTAGTCCAGGCTGGCTTCCAACACACTGTGATCCTCCTCCCTCAACCTCCTGAGTACTGGAATTACAGGTGTGTGCCACCACATCTGGTTAATAGTAATTTCTGTAAGAGAGAATCTTAGGGATAGCACTCAGGTTGGAAGAGTATGTGGAGGAGGATTTGCATGGGGAAGGGGATTTATTGGATTCTGCAATCTCTTGGTTTAGATCAAACTGAGAATGCCACAGTAGGGAGGGGCACGCTGAAGATTACAGCAGGAACTAATTCCTTCAGACTAAGCTCAAGGCTTTCTACCACTGCCAACACCTTTGACCAATACTAATGCATTAAAAAGATACTCATTTCAACAGCTCTGTAGGCAGAGGCATTTAAATCTACAGAGAGCAAAGTGAGTGGTGAAAGAAGAGATGAGGTAAGGATTTTGGGGCTGGGGATTTAGCTCAGCGGCATAAGTGCCTGCCTTGCAAGCAGGCAGTCATGAGTTTGATCCCTGGTACTGATAAAAACAAAAAAGACAAAAAAAAAAAAAAAAAAAAAAAAGAAAAAGAAAAAAAAGGATTTCATAAGAAGGTACAATTTAGTTGATTTACCACACAAGGAACCTTCATAGGTTCTGGTGGCCTGTTTGGCACCTGACAAACTGGCCCTCTTACAAAAGGCTTCCACGTTATACCAAGAGTTTAGAAACTCAGGGCTGGGGGTGGGGAAATGTACTTAGTTGTAGAGTGTTTGCCTAGCAAGCAGGAGACCCTGGGTTTGATCCCTGATACCAAAAATAAATAAGATTTCAGAAATGCATACTCTAATTGATATGGCTTTTGGCACAAGAGTGACAGTGATATTTGAGACAGATCACAGAGTCTAAAAAGAATAAAGCAGGTTGCCTTGCAAGCCGGCAGTCGTGAGTTCGATCCCTGGTACTGATAAAAAGGAAAAAGACAAAAAAAAAAAAAAAAAAAAAAAAAAAAAAAAAAGAAGAAGAATAAAGCAGGTCAAGGAATAGAATTGGATAAAGATACTTTCCTTAAGGCAAACTCAACGTTTTTTGTTTTGTTTTGGGTTTTTTTTTTTTGTATGTTATTTTATTTTAAAAAGTAAAATAGAAATGATACAGAATTTCAAAAAAAGGAAATTAACATTAGTTAGTATACAGCATATTGTTATTTTAGAAATAGTTCATTTGATCATTTTTATGCCTAGAACTCAGCATTTTTGTACAATTCTCATAGACACCACAAAAATAGGACTTAAGAACTTTACCTTCCAGCATAATTCCTCAATAACTGATGAACTGAAAATTCTTCAAAATCGAAATACATATTGTAAGACTGTCTGTAATTTTGTCCATTGTTTAATAACTTCTTTTCCTGTTTAGATGTGCCATCTTACAAGAAATAAATTTCTCTCTAAAGGTTAAAGAACATATTTAGTTGCACTAAGAATCCTCCTCAGTATACTTTCATTAGGGTCTTTACCTTTCAGATACTCGGGTTCAAGCCTTTGGTCTTTTCTTTCTTGCTCCCATTTCAAGGAGACACACCTACTCAACCATCCTTCCCTCACTTCCTTTCCTCCCTTCCACTTTCTCACCCAAACCTCTCTTTCCACTACTGGAGATTGAACCCAGTCAATACGGAGCTATAGCCCCCCGTCTATTTATTTATATGCGGCACAGTCGAGGTCCACAGGCCTTATTTATTTTTACTTTTTTGTCTTTTTGAGACAGGGTCTCACTATGCAGTTCAGGCTGGCCTTGAGCTCACTTTGTGTAGCTCAGGCTGGTCTCGAACTCGCAATGATCCTCCTGCCTCAGCCTCCCGAGTGCTGGGATTACAGGCGGAGCCACCATGCCCGGCTCCTTTTTTATTTTTTGATACTTGCTAAATTGCTCAGGCTGTGCTCAAACTTGCTGTCCTGCTGCCTCAGACTCCCCTGGGGTTACCCTACCTATCATCTATTTATTTGCGTGCGTTTCTGTCCTACGAGCTGCCATCTCCACCTGCATTCATTTTTCATGAAGAGCCATTATGTACTGAGTGCTTTGCTTTGGTTTGGCAGACATTTTGCTAAATGCCCTAACAAAGAGGGCCTCAGAAGATTCTAGAGTCCTATTATGCGGTGACGGTGGTAGTGGCTTGCAATTTGTGATGATGCAGAGTGGAAATATTTGTTGCTCTTGGGCCTCCAGTTCCTGTTGTGAAACGGAGAACAACATTCTACTAACAACGAGAACTTCGCTCATAAGGGTTTACAGTAGTGCCTCCGAATAGCACTTCGGTTTCGGAATTCAATTGTTTCCAGAATTCTGAACGCAGACCGGATCAACTCTCCCCATAAGGCCAAAATTGAACTTAACCATTGATTTGATCCGGTCCTCGTCCAATTCGGTTTGCAAGCAGACTGGTGGAAAGAAGTTCATGAATCGAAGGGTCACTGTAACAAGTCCCGGCCAGCTCTCACCCTTTCAACACCTGGGCCTAACAGAGGAATGCAGATTCTCCGGCTCCAAGAAATCGAATAATGTGGAGGTCGCAGGGCGAGGCCCATAAATTTGCATTTTAATAATGCTTGTTCCCGCCCATTGTTAAAATTTGAGAACCATTGGCCTCTTCTTCGTCTTCCTCTCTAAACCTTTTCCAGATACAGGTACTGTTATTACGCTATTTAACAAAAAGGTCATGCAAAGGTTAATTAACCTTGTACGGTCACGAGGACCAAAGTCGGGAACCTAGACGTGCTTGAGATGCAACGCCTAAATCTTAAGCCTAAAAAAGTTCTTTACCATCCCTGGTACCGATAAAAACGAAAAAGACCAAAAAAAAAAAAAAAAACCAAAAAAGTTCTTTACCTCCTTTTCCTAAGTAACGTGTTAATATTTCAACAAGCCCTGGATTTGGAGTTTAATAATGATTTAGCTGAAATCTCAATTCAGTCTGTGCTGTCAAATCTATGCTGTCAACATTTTGAATTTCAAGCACCTGGTCTTGGGATAAGTACCGCCACCTGAGGGCGTGCGGGGCGGGGAGGGGCGGGGCGGGCTGCCCGAGGAGGCTCGGGCGATCGAGGACTGCGGCGCGCCGCCGCCTGTTGGATTGGCTCGATCCTCTCCCGCCAGGCCTGTCCGACTCCCGCGCGCTCCTGGGCCCGCCCCCACCGCCATCTTGGCCCGGGAGGGAGCGGAGAACAGGCGCGAGTAAACAGCCCAAGCGGCGGGAGTCGACTTGCGGTAGCATCCTCGTGCCGCGGGCTTGCGGCGGAGGGGACCGCGTTTGGATCTGCTCGCGAGCAGGTAAATATCAGGCGCTGGGCAGGCAGCCGGCTGAAGCTTCATCCCGGCGCCACCTTCGCCCCCTCGCGGCGAGGCGCCACGCTTCCCGGTCTCCCGCCCCCCGCGGGTCTCCTCCCTCGGTTGAAAGCTGCCCGGGAAAGTGGTGGCGGGAGCAGCCTCAGGCCTGAGCGGCGCGCGAGCCCGGGTGTGAGTGCCGCGCGCCGGAGAAGGCCCGGGCCCGGGTGTGCGCGCTGGGCCGCGGCGTGCGCGCGAGGCTGGGCGGGAGCGCAGGTGTGCGGGCCCGGCCGCCGCGGGGTGGTTGCCTCCGGTCACTGCATTTTTTTCTCTTCCGGTCCGGCAGTCAGGGTGGCCGACATGTCGGCCCTAGGTGAGAATCCCCTCCTGCCGCTGTTGGAGACTTTGGAAGACTCTTCCGCCTTCCCTGGAGAGCAGACCGACGCTTACCTGACCCTGACCAGGTGAGGCCCGCGGGCGGCGGCGTGTGGGGCGCGCGGAGGCAGGGCGGGCTCGAGGACGCCGGCCGGGGTCGCGGAACAGTGGGGTGCTCGGAGCATGGGTGCCGCGCGAAGCTCCCGGTAGCTGCTGCAGCGTCTCAAGTGTTTATTTGGGGGAGTGAGCCTGCACGTGTGTCTGGAAAGCGAGGAGTTAAATTTGAAGAGTTTTAGCTGAAACGGGATGCTGTGGCCCACCTCGGTTTTCCTAGCCCTTGGGGAGGCGCAGTCAGGAAGCTCACCATGAGTTCGAGGCCAGCCTGGGCCGGGCTGCGCTACCTAATGACACCCTGCCCCCCGCAAAGGAAAAACAAAAAAAGTAGCTGAAAATGGTACCCGTTCCCGTGGACAACCTAGAGTTGGTTTCTTAGACTGCTAACCTTGTTTTTGTAGTTACAAGATGCTATTAAATAAGCATTCTAAATTGTTACCAAGGGTCTTATAAGGTGGCCAAATTTGTAGTTAGGGATAGAGATTCCTGTTCCATTTCATCTTTTGAAACTGACAAAATTTGAATTTGCTGTGGAGGCAAAAAGTTATTTTGATGTGTGTCATCACTTAGTTTTATGTAGATGTAGATTGCATTACATATTCTGTGTATTCCTCAAGTATTTTAAGCGCTAGATCGTTTTTGAAGTTTGAAAGTCATCTTTAAAAGTAATAGAGGTATTTTGGGCAGTTGAGTCCAGTATTTTGTTTCCCTTTTGCTTACGCATATGTTCTGTTGCTTTTTAAGTCGTATGACTGGAGATGAAGGAAAAGAAGTCGTCATAGAAATGGAGAAAAATCTTCCTCGGTTATACAAAGTTTTAAAGGTCTGTATTAAGTAATAATTCATTTTATGCCATCACAACCACCTACCTGACCCATACAATCTAAAATAATATTCACTGGATACTTCATATTGATTACTTAAAAATTTTCCAGATAGTCTCAATTGTCTTGCCTAGTCTCTCACTTAGTTTTCCAAATCTGAATTTACACAGGTGGGTCGGTTGGTTGCTTGGGTTTTTTGCACTGGGGATGAAACCCAGGGTATCAGACATGGCATGTGATCTGCCACTAAGCCCCACTCTTGACCCCTAAATTTGCAGTTTGCAGAGGAACAAATTGGTTTAATTTTCCTTAAGTTGCCCAGGGCTATTTGAATCCAAATCCTATGCTTCTGTTTTGAAAGCAATCACCAAAGATTAATCTATTTTCTTTCCTTTTGGAAATGTGTTTCTAAGTAAGTGATTCTAAACTTGTTAACTGTCTGGTCTACTCTGTAGAAATTTGTACTTCATACTTTTATTCACTCTTTGTTTTCCACTTATGCTTGATTAGCAGAACCATTGCAGTTAATCTTTTTTGTAGAGAAGTGGTATAGTTTAAAATCAAACCAGTCTTTTCAACTTGACCACTTGGCTTCATGACATACTTAACCTGACACTTACATTTTTGTTTTGTTTTGTTTTGTTTTGTTTTGAGACAGGGTCCTCTATGTAAGTCCAGGCCAGTTCCGAATTTGGCAGTCCTCCTGTCACAGTCTCTAGTGCTGAGATTACAGGTGTAGTAATCAACTACACGTGGCACATTTAACTTTTTAATAGTCTTGTTCTGAGAATGAAAAGGTTGAACTAAGTCTCTGGGGTGTCTCAGAATTTTGTTCATTTATTTGTACCAGCGATCAAACTCACAACCTCACTGCAATTTTATTTTTAAGGTCCTGTTTTTATGCTTGAAATAAGTACTCTTAGAAATATTCCTTGTGTTGGCATAGGTTGTTATTCAGTAGTGGAGCCTAGTGTGTATAAGGGCCTAGACTGAATTCAACAGAGCTAAATGAATAGTTACTGTATATTTTAGCATGATTTGTCTAAACTTTAAAAAAATTGAGATGCTGACTTGTTGCTGAAATAGTACAATTTTTTACATAGAGGTTGCTGTGTAATATTTACTTAATAGTATTACATAATATTAATGTTACTATTTCATTTTCCTTCATTATTCAACATTCCAGCAGTATATTTGATGTGAAGACATGCACTTTCATGTACAGTACTTAATATATGAGAGCATTTGTAATTAGAAACCCTGTTGCATGAATTTTGAGTCAAGTTGCACTGTTTCTGAATAGGTTTATATATAAAATTACTGATGGATTATCTGAAAGTACATAAAAGGTTAGTAGCACAATAGTCAGTAGGTGTTTTCCATTAAGAAAAGGAAAATTGAATTCCTTCAGAATAGGAAACACATTAGGTAAAACAGAATGTTCAAATGTTTGTGTGTTACTATTTAGAATTCTGCTAGAGTTTTCTATAGCCTTTTGCTATTCTTTCTCACCTTTTTTTTTTTTTTTTTCTTTTTAATCGGTACTGAAGGTCAAACTCAGGACCACCTGCCTGCAAGGCAGGTGCTTATGCTGCTGAGCTGAATCCCCAGCCCCGCTTTTGCTATTCTTGTATTTGTTTTTTGAGGCTGTGCAGTTTAGGCTGGCCTTGAACTCACTATGTAGCCCAGGCTGGCCTTGAACTTGCAGTAGTCTTTCCTGCCTCAGCCTCCCAAGTGCTGGAATTACAGGCATATACCACCATATCCAGCCTCTATTTTTTTTTTTAATACGTTTTTTGTGGCGCTGGGGGTTGAAACCAGGGCTTCAGGGAGAGGAGTGTTCTACCACTGAGCTACATCGCAGCCCACCGATAACTTTCTGTTAGTGCATCTCACTGTATACTGTAGGCTGCCTTTGAACTCATTTCAATCTGAGTACTGGGTTTACAGGCATACACCCCCACACCTGACTGATCCATAACAGTCTTAAACATAAGGCTGAGGGTTTGATATTGAGTACCACAAGGAAATTGTTCAATAAAAGGTGATTGATCACAGCCTGTTTAATCCTAGCTCTCTGGATAGCTGAGGAAGAAAGATCACAAATTCAAGCCCAGGTTTAGGAAGACCCTGTCTCAAAATGATTTGGGGATATAGTTCAGTATGAAGGCAGTGGGTTCAAACCTAGTACTGAAAAAAAAACAAAAAACAAAAACCATGTGCTAGCTTTTGTACAAGAGATAGAGTATTAGCACTCAGTCTTAGCCTTGGTTATCTGAGCAAGTTACTGTAGAATCTCTTGTGCTAATTCCTGAATAGGTACCCTAAACTGGGTTTGGTGATTCATGTCTGTAATCCCAGAATTTATCTGTAATCTCATCCATCACTTGAGAGACTGGGGCAGAAAAAAGGATAATAGATTTAAGCCCAGCTTGGCAATTAGCAAGATACTGTCTGGAATTTTTTTAAAAAGTGCTGAGAGTACAACTCAAAAGGAAGGTCCTGGATTTAATCCCAGTACAATAAAAAAATGATGGAGATATTTTAAAGTTCCTAACATATAAGATGTTTAGAAAATGTTACATTCTAATCTCTTCTCCCAGCTCACAGCCTATATAAGTGTTATCTGTCTACACTAACATTTGGTGGTTGACTTTGCATTTGAATTTTGCTTACTCTGCTGAAGTGTTTCGCTTCTGTTATTTTCTAATAATTGTAACATCTTTTGTCTGTTGGCTTTTTTACTTGCTCTCACATGAATTTTCTTTATTGTTTTTTTTTTTATACCAGATATTGAACTCAGGATCTTTTATCTGTTAATAAAAATATTCTTTCAGTTTTGGTAATTTGTCTAGCTTCCTCTTCTGAGCTTCCCTCCAAGCTATATCGTTTGCTAACTGATATTTTTCACTGGTATTCAAAGGTTTATTGATTGTATTAAAATATAATGAACTGGTTATTTTATAATTGACTTGATTTCTAAAAATTATTTTATAATTGTATTTGTCTTTAATGAATGTGGTTCTATTTTTGTAGACTCACATTTCCAATCAAAACTCAGAGCTGAGTAGTGCTGCTCTTCAAGCTTTGGGCTTTTGTTTATATAATCCCAAAATTACTTCAGGATTATCAGGTAGATAAACTTATTATGATCGTTAATGTTAAGTTTAAACTATAATTGTGTTTGAAGTACTGTTTATCTCTGGGTTGCTTTCATTATTTATAGTTTAGCATTTGCTTTTGAGAAAGAATCAGATTAGATTATCATTTCCTAGACATAGTTTGAAGTTTGGTACTGTAAAATATGTAGAAAATAAGGTTATTTAAGTATGATCTTAGGCTAGAGTTAGAGTTTACAATGCCCTACGTCTAGTGCCCAACGCAAGTACATGTGACTGCCTTCAAAATGGAGCATTCTTTTTTTTTTTTTTTGTCTTTTTGTCGGTACCAGGGATCGAACTTAGACTGCCTACTTGCAAGGCAGGCGCTTATGCCGCTGAGCTAAATCCCCAGCCCCTAAAATGGAGCATTTTAATGAATGGAGTCTCACTATGCAGTTCAGGCCGGCCTTGAGCTCACTTTGTAGCCCAGGCTGGTCTCGAATTTGCAATGATCCTCCCACCTCAGCCTCCCAGGTGCTGGGATTACAGGTGTGAGCCACCACGCCCGGCTTAAAATGGAACATTCTTAAAGCATGTTTTCATTTGGAAGGGAATACTAAATTGTCTTGATTTTTCAGGCATGCTGAACTTAAAAGTTACAGTGGTCATAAATGGCATAATTTAGAACTCAATGTGGGATTGAAAATACAGAATCTGATACTTGCCATATTTGAAGTGGCACTGTAACGTAGTTCGTAGTTTGCCATCGTTAAAGAAATCTGGGAGATCATTTTTAGAGGAAATCAGGAAGTTGCTACCATCTTTCTTTTCCCCCTGAGTGAAAGATTGCTGCTTACTCTTTTTATGTATAGAATTAAGCACAACCTAAAAAGTGCATTTTGGAGCAGATTTGTGGGGTTTATTTTTTTTCCTGCTATGTAGTGCAGGCTAAACTCAGAGTCTCAGTGATCCTCCTGTTTCAGCCTCTTGAGTGCTGGGATTACAGGTGTGTACCACCACACCAGGCACCTATGGGATTTAAACACTGCCAAAAATGATGTCTTAATGTTCTTAGTTACAGTTACTTCAGTTGTACATGGCTACTTGGACCATACAACTAAGTTTTTTTTTCTCTGAATGCACTTTCCTCTACTTTGTGGTTTATACTTGGAAAAGTTTTATTAGCAATAATGGTTTTCTGATCTCTCTTTGGATATGTATTTAATTTTTTGAATGGACAGTATGTTCTTTTGGCATTTGAGATTTTAAATGATAAAGTATTGCAATAATTAAAATTAAAACTCCTTGCTTTTTAGAAGCAAATATTCAAGAATTGCTTTCAGAACTGAATGATATTATTAAAAGTTCAGACAAAAATGTACGTACCAGGGCTCTTTGGGTAATATCCAAACAGACATTTCCCACCGAAGCTGTTGGCAGAATGGTGAGTATAATTTCTGTTCTGTTTTAACTGTATGCCAAATTTTAAAAATCTGGCCTATTTGATTTATAGGTATTTGGTTCTTTCTTTTAGGTATCCAGTATAATTGATTCATTAGAAATAATACTTACTAAAGGAGAGATACATTCTGCTGTTGTTGATTTTGAAGCATTAAATGTTATCATAAGGTATGTTTTTGGGTCCTATGCAAATTGGAATAATTGTTTTTGTGGGATTAGAATTTACTTTAAAGATTATACCTTGGCTTTGTGGCATACCTCTGTTATTCTAGAAACCATATATAACCTCAGTACTCAGGAGGCTATGGTAGGAAAATTGTGAGGTCAAATCACATTAGGCTGCATCAGTGAGTTCATAGCCTGCCTGAAATACATAGTAAGACCCTCTCTCCAAAAAAGCAAAAATAAAACTGCTTTAGGGATTGGATTTAAGGGATTTATTTTTTTGTGGTGCTGGGGACTCAACCCAGAGCCTTGCACATGTGAGGCAAATATTGTATCACTGCTACACCACAGCTGGCTTTCAGATTTAAATGTAAGGTAGACATTTAAAGAGGGGAGTATCTTTTAGACCACACAGTTAAAAGAAAGGTAACAGGAGGATGACGAATGTAGATGTCCATGATTGCTGAATTTTTTTTACTGGAAAGTCTCAGTAAGTAATGTCTTGGTAATGTTCCTGCTGGTAAAAGTCCTGGTTTTAAAATTGTCCTTGCTAAAGCTTTTGCAAGAGTTTAAAAAGTACAGATTTGTGAGTGGATGAGAGAGAGGGGTTGCTTAGGAAAACAGAGTGCCTATCGGGGAATAGAAAAATCCCTTATATTTGTCTTATGCTACGCTGCTCTTTAACAAGCTAACAATACAAGCTGTTGTATTTTCAAAATTTTCTTCAGTTTAGCTATTTAGTGTTCTAATGCTTATATCATGGTTCACTGGCTGTCTTTGACAAGAATGTTGCATTTCAAGCCAGGTGTGGTGGTTTATGCTTGTAATTCTAGCACTTGGAAGGCTGAGGCAGGATCACAGCAAGTTAGATGACAGCCTGAACTACTTAGTGAGAGATCCTGTCTCAAAAAATGAAAAGCCAGTTGTTTTAGTACTTTCTATTTAACCGGTACCAAGGATCAAACTCACGACCATGCGCTTGCAAGGCAGGCACTTAATGCTGTTGAGCTAAATCCCCAGCCCTTGAGTTTAGTACTTTTATAATAATTGGTATTTTAAAATTTGATTTCTTTTTGGTCTGTAAGACAATGGTATTGTCATGTAGTTCGGACTTTGAATTCATGTAGCACAGGTTCCTCTTGAACTTTGTGGCCATATTCCTGCATCAGCCTCCTGAGTGCTTGGATTGCAAGCATGTGCCACCACCATGCCTGACTAAATTTTCAGTCTAAAGACAAGATCATGAAAAATTTTATTAAAGCAGGCTGAAGGCCTTCCTCAACAATGGAGCAGTTGTATAACATGCGCAAGGCTCTGAGTTCCCAACATCCCCCCAAAAAGTTCAGAAATCTTCCAGAAGTATACAAATTAGCAAGTAAAAGTTTGGTCTTTTTTCTCTGTACGCATAATGTATATATTCTAAAACAAATGGGCCATTGAGTACAAAAAAGCCTGCTCTTGCAGTTGTGTAAATTTCTCTGTATTGCTGCTTTTCCTGGTAGTAGGCTTAAAAAGTGAGGCCAAGCTAACTTTGTCATTGATCTCCTATTAACAGGTTAATTGAACAAGCTCCAGTTCAGATGGGAGAAGAGTCAGTAAGGTGGGCTAAACTGGTCATACCTTTAGTGGTTCATTCAGCACAGAAGGTACATTTGCGGGGAGCCACAGCTCTGGAAATGGGAATGCCATTGTTGCTTCAGAAACAACAAGAAATAGCAAACATTACAGAGCATCTTATGACTACTGTAAGTATTATGTCATGTAAGGTTTTTCTTTTTTTTGGGTATCGAAGATTGAACCACAGCCTCATGCTTGCCAGGCAGGCACTTATACCACTGAGCTAAATCCCTGGCCCGTATAGGGATTTCCTGAATACTGCATTGGAATGTTTTGTACAAAACCTAAGTTTAAAATTCAGTCTGGGTTCATATTGGTATAACTGCACTGTGATCTAGGACTTAAGCTTTGAATTAAAACAATTGAATAAAGACTTGCTTAATTTCATTTAGACAGGTTACTTCTATTTAGCAGTATGTAAGGAAATTATTATAATCTAGCTACAGTATTTTATCCCATTCCCAATTAATAGTGAATAGAAAGTGATTACATTATTGAAAAAGAGATTAACTTGATTTAATACTCTTTGGGTTATTGTATAATTCTGGTAGGTACAAATTTAACCATTGAAAAATCATCCAGTCTGTACAATTTCCTGTTTATTATTTGCTTCAGGTATTAGGTTTCTCACCCTTTATTTTTATTTATTTATTTATTTATTTGTTTGTTTTTTATTTTTTGTACTGGGGATCAAACTCACGACCTGGTGTTTGCCAGGTAGGTGCTTATGCCACTGAGTTACAACCCTGGCCCTCAACCTTTTGAGACAGGGGTGTTCCCATGTAATTCTGACTTTGAACTCATGTAGCACGGGCTCCTTTTGAACTTGCCAGCCTCTTGGCATTTGTTGAGTATTTGTTATATGCAGTGGATTATAGGTATTACCATAGTAGTGAGATTGTAGTGCTTATTTTCTAGTGTAAAAAAGAGATGAGATATGTAATGTTGAATAAAGAACACTATGGAGTAGCAGGAACAAGATAATGGTCAGGACAAATTTAAAAAAAAAAAAAAAAAAGACATTAGAATAGGGATGGCAGACCTTTTAGAGACCAGATGCTCAAACTGCAACCCTAAACCTGTACTCAGCTGGTTGGGTGATTTGGCTCATGTAATAGAGAGGGCTCTGTGTGCCTGTTACAGCTCCCATACTGTAAGTTCTTAAACAGCTGCATGAGAACAATGACTTGAAGCAAGTACGGGATTTAGCCATGTGCCAGTATGTGTAAGTTTGTTCCAGACAAGAAAATCAAGAGTGCAAGGAGTCTTATGGTTGGGCATCATTTGCTGTTTGGCAACCTCCATGGGCAGTATAACAGTAGTGGTAGTAAATAAGAATGAGTGGAATGGAAGATGACTTCAGAGAAACAGAGACCAATGGAACTTTGGGGATCATTGTACTTTGTATGTGACTTGGGCTCGAGGTTCTGAGCTATATCCTTGGCTTTTTTTTTGTTTGTTTTTCAATCCTGGAACTATACTAGGATCTTGCATATACTAGGGAAATATGGTACCACTAAGCTGTATCCCCAGTGTGTCCCTTACCACTTTTTCACTTTTTTGAGGCACGGTTGTGTTAAGTTGCCAGGCAGGGCTCAAACTTGTAACTCTCCTCTTTTTTTTTTTTTTTTTAAACCAAGCTAACCTTGAATGTCTTTTTTTTTTTTTTTTTTTTTTTTTTTTTTGGCTTTTTCCTTTTTATCGGTACCGGGGATCGAACTCACGACTGCCTGCTTGCAAGGCAGGCACTTAATGCCGCTGAGCTAAATCCCCAGCCCTTGTCTTTTTGTTTTGAGATAAAGTTTTTTCTGTGCAGTTCAGGCTGGTGTTGAACTCACTTTATAGCCCAAGCAGGCCTTGAGTTAACAGTGATTCTCCTGACTCAACCTTCTGAGATTATAGCTGGCACCACCAAGCCCAGCCAAATTCCTTTCATGGCTTCCTAAGTAGCTAGCATTACACATGTGAGCCGCTATGTTAAGCTTTACTCCAATTTTAATGGAAAGTCCTATTTGAATATTTTGAGCCTGGATGTACTCCTTAGTGGCTTGGCTTGGATTTTTTTTTTCTATATTGTATTTTTTTGTGGTACTGGGATTGCCCATCCTCCTCCCCTTCTAAATTGTTTATTTTGAAATAATAATATCATTAAGACACGCAAGTGGTCCATGAAATGGGATCATTCTAGGTGTGTTTAGAATGTGGATACTTGAGCAGGAACTGGGAAGACTGGTTAAGAGAGAGAAAACTAATACTTTGGGTAGTGAGAGCCTTCTACATTTGAAACCTGGGGTTTTTTTTTTTTTCTTTTTTAAAATAATTTAGGCCTGTTTGTAAAGTAAGTGAAATATCTCTGAGAATTGTTTTATTCTGATAAGTATATTTAATAGCATTTATAAAATTACATTTTGCTGGAGATTTAGCTCAAGTGGCACAAGTGCCTGCCTGGCAAGTATGAGATCATGAGTTCAATCTCCAGTACCCTAAAATAAAATAAAATTCCATCTTTATTTTTTTGAGACAGGATCTCACTATGTTCCAGGTTGTCTCCAATTTGGTAATCCATCTGCATCAACTTCTAAGATGTTGGATTAAGAGACATGCACTATCATTTCTGGCTATTTATAGTTTAAGTTTTCTTGGATATTGGTTGTCTGAAACTAATGATACATATTTTTTAATTAGTGTAAGATTAGTACATTACCATTTGAGCTTTAGTTAATAATGTACATGCTGAAACTTTGAGGAAAAAATTTTCTGGTCAGAAAAAATAAACTGCATTGATGGATGGTAGAATGGCCAAATGTGTAAGAAGTATAATAAAATACATCTTAATGGTTGAATCTTGATGTTTTGTGGAATATATACGGTAAAATTTTGGATTTACTGGTGCTTCAAAGCTTTCTTTGTTTTTGGCGGGGAGTAGTTTTTCTTATAGTAAAGATTATTTGAGATATTGTGAGTTATTTCTAAACTTTGGATACTGCATTTTTTTCTTGTATTTGTTAAATATTTTACTTTGTTTGCAGAAATTAATCTCAGAACTCCAAAAGCTATTTATGAATAAAAATGAGACCTATGTTTTAAAATTATGGCCTTTGTTCGTCAGACTTCTTGGAAAGGTAGGTGCCATCATAAATGAATAGTCCACACTTCTATGGGCCAGATCCTTGAATTTTTTTCTAATTTTCTGTATTTCTTTGTTTGTTCATGTTAGCCTTTTTTTGTATACTCATTAAGCTTATTTATAAACCCCACATTGCTACTTACATTATTTTCATGTCATTTATAGATGGGCAGAGTGGTAATTAATTGGAGTTACCCAAGGTATATGATTTCAGCTAAGATTCTTTTTTATTTTCTTTTTTTGAGTGACTTTGTTGGACGTGGCCTCCTAGCAAAGGATTAAGTACTGTCCAGTTAGCATTTCTAAACAGTGGTTATGGATGTGTTGAATAACTTTTGTTATGGTGTGAGTTATGGTGTTGTTGCTTTGAGTTCGGTTCTAGAAAGTCAACATATATTAAAGGGAAGGTATCTTTAAATGGAGAAACATATACAAGATTACTTAATGAATACAGTGAAACTTTGATTTGTGAGCATGGTTCATTCCAGAAATTTACTTGCAATGCAAAGCACTTAGGTATTCAAGTGAATTAACGTGTCAGAAATAATGGAAACTCAGATGATTCATTCCACAACCCAAAAAGATTCATAAAAATGATTACAATACTTTAATATAATGCAAAATAATAAAATACAACATGAAAAATATTAACCTGCATTTAACCTTTGAAAACTTTCATGGCTAGTGTAAGGGAAATGAATGAGGTTCACTGACGGAATCACTGCTTTCTATTGGCTGAATGAAATATTTTTACGCAGTTTTAACAAAGAACCTATCTAATTTGCTTTTGCTGCCTTTTGAGGATTTTTCAGAAATATGACATTGCATTGTTGCTAAAATTAACTTGCATTATGTATTTGCAATATATAGTGGGTGTATTCTTAATATGGGGTGGTGTTTACCTACAAAATTTTGCACTGTTTCACACATTACACATCCCCCTAATCTCATTTGAAGTTCTGCTTTGCAGAGATCTCCATAACCTCTTGCTGATGGGGAACAGTCACACAGCAAGAGACAGAAAAGAATATTGGCTCATTTGTGACTATGTGATGTTTGGTGTAACACTACTTGTAATGGGAGACATAGCTTATTTGTCAAGTTAAAATTTACTAGAAATGTTCTGTTTGTCTTGCCAAACACAGAAAAGTTAATTGCAGTCCAGGGTTTTATTGTACTTGATTATCATACTGACTTTTTTTTTTTTTTTAATTGGTACCAGGGATCAAACTCAGGACCACGCGCTTGCAAGGCAGGCACTTATACCGCTGAGCTAAATCCCAGCCCCCATACTGACTGTTATTTATGAATACACAAGGGATACCAGCTTTTAGAGTATCCTAAAAATAAAAAACGTTTACTGAAACAAGCCAACTGAGGTGATGCACTGCTGTAATCCCAGTACTTGGGAAGCTGAAGTGGGAAGATTGCTGTGAGTTTGAGGCTGTCCTGGGCTATACAGTGAGACCCTATCTCAAAGTACTTCCCCCCAAAAAAGAAAAAACCAAAAATAATAGTTTACTGAAACAATATGTTGTACTATATATAGTAGAGGTAACCTCTACTTTTTACCTTGTGTGTTGACTGCTTCATCTCCTTGATTTAATCTTACGTTTTGTTCATGATGGCACTAGGAATAGTAGGTTGTACCATCTATGCACACTAGACTAGGCTTGTAGATGGCTGTTCCATGTAAGTTTGTGCAAGTAACATTCAACTTGCCCATTGACACATTTCTTACCTTTAATGTGATACATGATCATATTTAATTCTTTTAAGAGCTCTGTAATGGATTTACTTTTCAAAAACTTGTTTTGAGTCAGATTCTCACTTTATAGCCCAGACTGACCTTGTACTTGCAGTGACCCTGCTTCAACTTCAAATATCTTTTTTCAGATTATTTTTATTGTTGATCTATAGAAATACAAGTGATATGTCAATCTTGGTAACTACTGGATTTACTAGCTCCAGTAGCTTTCTAGTGAATTTTTGTTGTTTTCTAAGCTATTTGGTTGAGTGTGTGTTTTTGCTATTTACATTTTGCTAAGATTATATTTGATCTCTAGTTTCTTGTTTTATTTTTGGTATCATTTATATTTTCTTTTTTGTTAAATATTAATCCCATTCAGTCATGTAGTATTAGGAACTAATTTTGAATTTATTCAGTTTGGGTGGTTGTGGACCCTTTTTTTTCTTTTTGATGATGATGATGATGATGATGATGATGATGATGATGATGATGATGATGATATTGAACCCAGGATCTGTGCACTGGATTACATCCTCAGCTCTTGTTATTTTGAGAAAGGGACTTGCAGAGTTACACAGGTGATGCAAACTTGTGATTCTTTTGTCTCAGAATGATCAGTGTCAGAATCATAGTGTAGGCAAGAGTATCACTTTTTTTTATTTGCTTTAGCAGATGGTATCTTTTTTTATCATTTTCTAAATTTTTTTCCTTTTTTTTTTGTTTTTTCCTGTGTATGTAGGACTGCAGGGATGTGTAGCAGTGTTTGGTGCTTTGTCTTTAGCTACTTTTTTCTGCCTGTTTTAATGTGCCTGAAAACATTTTTTAATAGAGTTTGCGTCTTTTCTCACTAATATTGCTCATATTTGTATAGGTAGAGTAGGCAATCTGAAGCAGAAAGTGCTCCAAAATCTAAAACTTTTGGTTCCTTCACTTGACATGAAAAGTGAAAAATTCCACACCTGATCATATGTGCTGAGCCTCAGCCAAAACACAAGTAAACTAAAAATAGTGTAAAAAAAATTAAGCTGTGTATATATAAAAGGTGATTATGGAGCATAAATGAATTTTGTGTTTAGACTTTGCTTCTGTACCCAAGATAATCTCATTATGAACTGTATATGCAAGTATTCTAAAATCTAAAGCATTTCTAGTCCCACGTATTAAGGTCCATTTTCTTTCATATTACTTTAATGCAATTTGATGTATGTGCTACTGAAGAGAACACTACAATTTGGAATATTTTCTCATTTTCTGTTTTAACAGTTCTGTACTATACATCATCTACTTCATTGAACTTTACTTTGTACATACAGTGCATCATTTTCTTAAATTCAACTTCCTGAGAATTAACATGTTTGTTGTAACACGTAACAGGTTTGTTTTCTGTTTTGTCTCTCGTTTAGACTTTGAACTCCTCAGAAGATATTATTTCTTGAAGATCAATTTTTTAAACAGTAACAAAGTTTTATTAACAGTAGGAAAAGAAATGGGCTCTGCAGAGTGAGATTAGGCCCACTAAAGTAGGAAGAGAAGCATACCCTACAGCATGAGTGTCATCTGTTATGCAAGAGAGAGTGCAGCGGTCTTATCAATAATTTCTTGATAATTTTTCTCTCGCTTTAGACCTTGCATCGAAGTGGGAGCTTCATCAATTCTTTGCTACAACTGGAAGAACTGGGATTTCGTAGTGGAACACCCATGATTAAAAAAATAGCTTTTATTGCTTGGAAGAGCTTAATAGATAATTTTGCTTTAAATTCAGGTTCGTAAATAATTCAGCATTTTTTGTTCCTTCTGAACTTAGTTTTAAAATTTACTTATTTATTTGAGATAGGATTTCTTTATGTGGCTTAGACTGGCCTTGAATTCAAGGTAATCTTACCTCTTTGTCCTTAAGTGGGGGGGTTATAAGACATTGTGCCCAGCCCATTTTACTGTTTGTTTGTTTTTGAGATGAGCTCTTGCTATGCACCTTAGGTTGGCCTTGAACTCACTGTGTAGTCTAGGCTGGCTTGAAACTTATGGTGATCCTCTTGCCTCAGTCCCCCTGAATGCTGGGACTGTGTGTACCAGCATACCCAGTAGTATCATTAACTTTAAGGAAACAAGAGTTTCCTTAAATCTATAGTGAAAATAGAATTTAAGGAGCCTGTCTTACTTTTACTTGTCACTAAGACAAAATACCTGAAGCCCAAAGTTGGGAAGGGAAAGGTTTATTTCTTATAGTTTTTGGAGGTTTCAGTCCATACTCAGTTGGCTCCCAGGCAGGCTGGCATGGCGGGGCTGTAGTTCATGGCAGCTGCAAACAGCAAGGCAGAAACCAGCAAGAGAGCAAGACACATCTTCCTGCCATTACCTTACATCCTGGCTCCACCCCTATGTGGGTGTAGCACTGAACACCGTCAGTCCAAGCACTAGACATGAAACAATCACAAATGTACAATGCAAAGTGCATGAGGTCTGGGGACCACAGACATAAACCATGACAGAGCCCTTATTTAAAATCATTGATACATTTGATTTAAGTTATTTGAAAATCTGAGCAAAGTGAAAAATACCTTTTGTGGTATTCTAACACTGAGCTGAGCGCTTAAGTGCCCTCTTTTCTAGTGGTGCTAGAAATTGAACCCAGGGCTTTGTGCATCTTAGGCGTGTGCCCTACACTGAACCATACCTGTAACGTAAATGAGAGTAGTTGTAAGAAATATTAGTGGAAGTCAGTCTGAAATAACATGGTTTGACTAATGTTTTAAGGTCTTTTTGAAGTCTTTGTGATAAGACCCTTGAACACAGACCATTTCTTAAACTTAAGTGTTGGCCAGTTTTACTTGTGTAGTACATGTCATATAAATATTTTGTTTAAAGAACTGAAGTTCATTTCCGTGCTGAATTTTTAATGGTCTGATAATATAAGGTAGGAAACGAAGTGAATCTGCTTAGATTTCTAAAATATAATCACTGTCCTCAACAGTAATGTTTGATAAGAATAAGTTACTAGTTAGGTAAAAATGTGCCTGTTTCATTTCTTTTTTTTTTGTAGTTACTGTTGTTGAATCCAAGATACACATCCCTGTTCTCCATCCTTCCTTACCTCTTTTTTTTTTGTGATACTAGGAATTTGAGCCTAGGGCCTCTCAGTATACCACTGAGGTATCTCTTCAAACCTTTTTATTTTGAAATAGGATCTTCTCAAATTGCCCACTGTAGCCTCAAAACTTTTTTTTTTTTTGGATACAAGATGTCACTATGTAGTTTGGGCTGACCTTGAACTCACTATGTAGCCCAGAATGGCCTCAACTTAAGGTGCTCTTCCTGCCTCAGCTTCCTGAGAACTGGAATTACAAGTGTGTGCCACCACACCTGGTTCTTTATAGACTCAAACTTTACTATGTAGGACCACAGGGATGTGCAGCAGTTTTTGGTGCATTCATTTTTTATTTATCACATGTAGTAATGAGAATGGGAAGCAGTTTCAGTTTTAGAATTTTCCACTGGATAGTTTGTTACTAGGGACTATCTGATGTATTCTTAGTAAGCTTGGCAGCATCATTGGTTTCAACCCATTGAGTGATAGTATGATTCCTCTAGTTGTCTATGACCAGACATTGCCAAGTGTCCTCTGCTGGGAAAGTAGTCCCTGACACACAACATCTAATAAATACTCCAGGATTCTGTTACAGCTGTCATGGAGTTTGTCAAACTTTTGGGTTGAGTAAGAATAGCCTGATGGTTTTTGCTTTAAAATCTTTTCTTGCTGTATTGAAAGGAGACTTGCATAATTCATTTTTAAAATTTATACCTCTAAAATCACTTTACCTCTGTGCTTATTTTCTTTTAAGATATACTGTGTAGTGCAAAAAGACTCAAGTTGTTAATGCAGCCTTTGAGTTCCATCCATGTGAGAACAGAAACTCTAGCATTAACAAAACTAGAAGTCTGGTGGTATTTGCTAATGAGACTTGGACCTCATCTCCCTGCTAATTTTGAACAGGTAACACTATAAGCACTAACTATAACACTTCATGTGATTTCTTTTTTTTTTTGTACTGGTAATTGAATTCAGGACCATGCACTTTCCAAGCAGGTATTTATTCCACTGAGCTGTATCTCCGGCCCTAGTTCTTAAATTCTTATAAATCTATAGTCTTTTATTTTTGCTATGTATCAGTACACCACAGTATCTAAAAGGTCTTTTTCCTGCTCAGAATTTGAGCTTCTTCCTGTAAGGGATAGTCTCCAGTGGACTGAATGGAAAGGGCCCACGAGCCTTTTTAGTCTGCAAACAGTGTTACAGAAAGTTTTGTAGTTTTAAATTTGTATCAAAGGGTTAGAAATCAACTAGTTAATACTAGGAAAATAGCAGTAAAGTGTTATACTGGAAAGATCAGCTTTTTTTTTTGGTCCCTTTTCCAGGCTGTAAATCATTTGATCTCATTTTCTGGTAGAAATAATTTTTCCTGTATAATTTATTTTGATACATAAATACTAATTTAATCCTAGCACTTTTTGGGGGGGGGTGACAGGGTCTTGCCAGTTCGTCAGCCTTTAATTCTCTGTGTATAGGCTGTTCTTGAACTTACAGAAGTCCTCCTGCCTCAGCCTTTGGACTGCTGGGATCACAGGCATGTCCCCCCCCCACACACACACACACCATGGAGTTATTAAATTTAATCTGGTTTAAAGATTACACCACTGGTCCTCCTGTACACTAAGGTGTTTTTGAAAGAGTCTTCCTAAATTGCCTCGGCTAGCCTTGAACTCATGATTCTTTTGCCCCAGCCAGAATTGTAAGTATGTACCACCATATCTTACCTGGCTTTTTAGTAGCTTTTTTTTTTGGATCTTTTTGAAACAGACTCTCACTATGCAGTTCAAGCTGCCTTGAGCTCACTTTGTAGGCCAGACTGGTTTTGAACTCTCAGCATCCTCCTGCCTCAGCCTCTCAAGTGTTGGGATTACAGGCATGAGATACCACACCTAGCTGGATAGTAGCTTTCTTATATTCCATGTAAATAACTGCAAATTAGGGAATGCATTCTTTTTTTTTTTTGTACTGGGGATTGAACTCAAGACCTCTTGCTTGTGAGGTAGGCGCTTATACTACTGAGCTAAATCCCCAGCCCCAGGGAATGGATTCTTTGAAAGGGACTTAAAACCTGAGCCAGTTTTGGTTTTTCGATAAGTTCTTAATTACTTTAATAAAACTTGATGTAAAATGAAATAATGAAATTGGGCATTGATATTAGTATGTTACTGAATTTTACATAGTGAGTTTTCTGAATTCTACCATTATAAATTTCAGATAAACTAATTGGGACAGTTGATTTAATGATAAACTGTGAGTGATCTAGGCTGATTTTAGAAATGAAGTTTTTTCTTGTCCTTGATACTTTCCAAAGTTCTTTTTTAAAAAGCTTGAGGTCTGTGGAGTATGGCTCAGTACAGTAGAATTTGGGCCTCATCTCAGGCCCAGAGTTTGTCATCAGTGCCAAAAAAAGGCTAAAAACAATTCTGTCAATACTGCATAGAATAGTCAAATAGTTATTTGAAAAGTTTGTCTATAATTTTCTGTCTGAAATTTTAGGACTGAAATGTACAGAAAATAACACATTCAGGACAGATACAGTTAGAACACAAAGTATTTCACATTGAATCTGGAATGAAAAAAAAAAAAAACACAAAGTATTGTTTTCCTAATTTTGAGTTTTTAGTCAGAGTGGGAATGGCCAGTATAAATCAGTATAGATTGAGAATACCTTATTTGAAATAGTTGAAACAGAAATAGTTTTCTTTTTTTTCTCATGTGACTGACCTCACATGAGGTGGGCCAGGTATAGAATTTTTCACTTGTGTTGAAAGCTCAAAATAGAAGTTTTTAGAATTTTCAGATTTTAGATTAGAGATGTTCAAACTTTTTCTTCTGCTGCTTCTTTTTTTTAATTGGTCTTACATTTTTGGTCTTTTTGAGCCAAGGTCTCTCCGTAGGTAGTTTAGGCTAATTTGAAATCTCACGATGTAGCCAGACTGGTCTCAAACTCATGGCAATCCAAGTGCTGGAATAATAGGTGTGCACCACCTAGTGAGAGTGCTTAATCTTTCTATCAAAAGATTTGAGGTTGCTTTTTAAAGAAATTTAAACTGTATTTAGCTTTTAGAAAAATACACCAGCATAATTTAATGACATTTTTCTTTTCATTCAATAGGTTTGTGTGCCTCTGATTCAGAGCACAATAAGTGATTCTAGTACTTCACCTCCAGGAAATTCATCACGTGTAGCTGCTTCTCCAGGATTAAGTCCTATGACTCCTGTACACAAAGGTAAGGAGGAACAGATGTTCTTTTTTCTCTTTAAAGGCTGTGAGTGAAAGCTTAGTGCTTTTCACATGAGACAGACCTCTTTAAAGTGTGGAATCTCTCTTTAAAAATCCTTTTATGCATATACTTTCTTTGTTTTGTTACTGATTTTTTTTTTTTTTTTTTTTTCAAGGATGGGGATGATGGTCGGTTGAATCCAGGGACTTGTGCTGTATAACTGAGCCAATTCCCCATCCCTTTTTCTTTTTTTAACTTTTTAGATTTATTTTGGTAATGGAAATTGAACACAGAGCCTTCACTCAAGAATTACTTCTTCAGCCCTTATTGAATTTTTTAGTTTTGAGACTGCATCAAAGTTTCCCATTCTGCCCTTGAATTTAACACTCTTCCCTTGTCTTCTTTAGTAGCTGAGATTGTATTACTTAGCCACCCTTAGTTTTAGTATATTATTGTAGGACAGGGTGAGTGTTCTCCTACCAGTATGAGTTTCATGAAAACATGAATGCCTAGTATAAAGCAGTAGGAAATTATTTTTCTGACCAGAATCTTAGAACATTGATTAAAAATCAGTATTCAAGATAAAAGACATGGTTTAGTATGTTACACTATTGGAAAAGTTATTTGTTGTTGTTATCGTTCTCATTAAATTCACAAAGACTTGGGTATTAATAATTTCAGGATTTAGATTAATACTTGTTCGTAAGTTGTGTTTTTTTTTAAGGCACAGTGTCTTGAAATAAGCTAAATACATGAATTTAGGTAGTTAGTAGCTGATATAAAAATATTGTTGTTTAACTTAATACTGTTTTCTTTTTAAAGGTGCTTCCCCATATGGAGTTCCTGTAACTACACGGATGAATATGAGTACAAATTTAGGTGGAATGGCAGCAATTCCTTCCATTCAGCTTTTGGGACTTGAAATGCTGCTTCATTTTTTATTGGGTCCAGAAGTCTTAAATTTTGCTAAGCAACACAAACTTGTATTGAACTTAGGTATTTGTTTTTAAAATAATTTCATTTATTAAAATTCTGCCTTGCTGTGTTTGAGGTGAGGTCTTGTTTGTTCCACAGTTCAGTTGTAATTTTATAATTGCTTATTGAATAAGTATAAATATTTTTAATGAGAACAAATGTATTTAGATCATTGAAATTTTATATTGAATTTGCCATAAATGTTGTGTTTTACATAATTGTCTTTTATTCTCATTTTAGAACCACTTGAACATCCGTTAATCAGCAGTCCTTCTTTTTTTTCTAAACATGCACATACACTTATCACTGCTGTTCATGACAGCTTTGTTGCAGTTGGAAGAGATGCTTCTGGTAAATAGTTAACAAAATTTTTTATTTATTGGAATCTTTTTTTATAAGAAGTTAAGAGTAGGGATGGTGATGCACAACTATAAGCCCAGCACTTAGCAGGCTGAGGCAGGAAGATTGCTGTGAGTTCAAGGTCAGCCTGGGCCAAAAAGCAAGTTCAAGGCCAGCCTACACTACTTGGCAAGACTCTGTCTAAAAAAAGAAAAATAAGCCAAATATTGGCCTGTTGATGTAGCTCAGTGACAGAACAGTTAGTTGTCTGGTATAATCAAATTTAAAAAGAAACTGACTTGTACAGAGAAGTAAATAACTTATACAGAGTCATATAGTAAATGGTATAGTTAGGATTCACGACCAGACTGGTAGCTCCAGCATCTTCTTTCAAACCCTTGTGTGTATAGTTTGTTAGTGAGGAAAACAAATTTCAAAAATCACATACTGTGCTCTAACTGGTGAGAAAATGAATCCCCTTTTATCACTTGTGAAGTATCTGTCTAAATCATTTTTCTCAAAAGTAAGGTAATGGGTAAATAATACAGGAAATACAGATGGAAAGACTAAACCAGTTGTTTTTGTTTAAGACCTGTTAACATGTTACAGTTACTTAAGAAAATGTGTTTAACTTTTTAAAATATGTGATTTTATAACTTTATTACTGAAATGGTTATTAAGGAAATGCACAAATTATTAAGTTTAGCGCAGTGTGATATTTACCATAGCAAAGAAAGGGGAAGCTTCTGTAATCTTGTACCTCATTAAAAGTACTTACTTTGTTTGACAGATGCAGTTGTCAATGCTATCTGGAAGGCGCTAATTAGCCTAGTGAATTCACTTACTGAATCCGGTGAGCACCGTTCACATAACTTTGAGTGAATTGTTTGACTTTTAAACTTGTTCACATAGGGTCAAGTTTGTAAACTAACTTGCTTTAAATTATTATTATTATTATTTTTTTTCTTTTTTTATCGGTATCGGGGATCGAATTCACGACTGCCTGCTTGCAAGGCAGGCGCTTATGCCACTGAGCTAAATCCCCAGCCCCTAAATAATTATTATTGATTTAAAGTTAGTGTTTATTCATAGGTTAATTATTATGCCTCTGACTATATTCATCTCTGAAAATACACATTTAGGATAATGCCCTTTTGCTTTTTGATAGGAAATAAAAAAGAGAAACCAGGTTCTGAAGTATTGACTCTCCTACTAAAATCTTTAGAAAGCGTAGTGAAATCAGAAGTACTTCCTATATCAAAAACCCTGGTAAGTATACCTAGAAATTAGACTTTAAAACTTATAATTTGAAATTGAATTTTATATTGCTATTTTTGCACAAGTAGGATTTGGGGCAGACTTTTTATATCAAGTATTTGTTAACAATTTAGTTCTGCAGTAAGTGTCATTGTATTGATTTTAAGAGTCATTTAAAGCCTTTAATAAATGACTAACAGCAACTGCAAAAAATTTTCTGTGATTTTTTTAAAAATTAGCTATACAGAGAAAATGGGATAAAGGACATGACTTTGGACTGAAAAACTCAAATGTCAGTAGTTTACTATGACGGTTGAGTAACATTAATGTTATTGCTTTAGATAAAGTTTTTAACTAGGGTAATGGCTTTGGTGTAGTTTTGAATTTGTAGAGAGGAGGAAAAGTGGAATGTGATTTTATAATGGTATTTGATGAGGTACATATGAAACAATACCTTCAATTAAATTCCTTCTGAGTGTTTCCTCTGTGTGCTGTGATAGTTAAATGCACTGTAGTAGTATAGAATAGTGGTTAATAGCATAGTCTGCAGAGCAGATTAGATTGAGTTTCTTTCCAGCTTTTTTTTTTTTTTTGGTACCAGGGATCGAACTCACTATCGCGCGCTTGCAAAGCAAGTGCTTATGCCACTGAGCTAAATCCTGAGCCCTCTTCCAGCTTTGTAGTAGGATGAATTTTGAGCAGTTTCTCTGCCTCATGATTTCAGTTTGACTCATACATAAATATGTAATGTATTAGTAATTAATCATTAAATGAGTTTATACATACAAAGCACCATGGGCCAAGTAGAGAATAAATGATACCTGTTTTCCACATTAGTGTGTTTCAAAGTAAAGTTTGTTTTACTAGCATAACTATCATACTGTTCATGACACACAAGTTAGTTTATGTTTAACTATATTGTACATTTTGGTAACGGTTGGGTAAGCTTATTCAGATACGAGTTGGCAATCTTTGGCTCAGCCTCTAGTCTTGAAATTCTACAGTGATGCCTCAGTTGTCAGATGGTTCTAACTTTAAGCTATTCACTAGTCAAAATGCAAAGTTGGGAAAAAAATGCGCTCAGTGTTTCTAACTTCGCTCCATAGTTGAACCAAAAATCCGAGTTGGGAAAAACCTGTAGAGGCAGAGTGAGTGAGTCATGTCTTAGTCAGAAAGTGTGAAATTTAGGTCTAAGTTCCGCTTTCACCCAGATAAGATACAATTCTTCATTAATGCATTAAAACATTCATTAATGTGTTTCTTATTTGGAAGTTTATTTGCATAAACTATTGTAACCGTGGCTCCAGAGAAAGTTAGTTACCAGCAGTATAGCTAAGAAGAAAACAGAATCACAGTACAGTTAAAGAAATCATTGCAAAATTTATAAAAGTCCTAGAAAAATGAATTGATAAGTGTAATTTTTGGGCCTCAGAACCAGTTACTTGGTTTTACATTTTTATTATGAGAAAAATACGTTCACTTCTCAAAGTTTTTGGTTGTTTGAATACAACTTTGGAAAGAATTGAGTTTGGCAAATGAGATATAATTGTATAGTGGTTGCTTTTAGCACTTGAATATATAATTCACAGCAGAATTTCTTCTAGCAGTATAAAATTAGTGAATAAATTGTAGACACTCATTCATATAGCGGTTTGAATAAATGTTGATGTCTATACTCACACTAGATTTAGGTATATGAAAATAAGACTCCAAACTGAAAGCATTGATTATCCCCGGGGGTAATGGACTTTGTCACTCTATTTGGTATGTGTCTATACTTTTAAAACAAATGAGAATGTGCCAATATAAATGACTGTTACCTGTAATAAACTGTTAAAAATATAATCAGTGATAATAGGCTTTTAGTAAGTGAAGTAGCTTATTTATAACCTCTTGTCTTTTTTAGGTCCTCATGGAAATTACAATTAAAGGACTTCCTCAGAAAGTGTTAGGTTCACCAGCATATCAGGTTGCTAATATGGATATTCTTAATGCAAGTATCTTAAATGTAATATGTTAAAGATTGGCCAAAAAGAAGTTCTATATTTTGGTTTTCTTTTTTAAAGGTCACTTAGTTATAAAACTTTAGATTATTGGATTTGAAATATGTTGACTAAATTAATAAAAAATAGGCAAAGTAATACATTAGTGTAAAGAATTAAATACAGTGCAGGGGCCGGAGATTTAGCTCAATGGCATAAGCGCCTGCATTGTAAGCAGGCAGTCGTGAGTTCGATCCCTGGTACCGATAAAAACGAAAAAGACCAAAAAAAAAGAATTAAATACAGTGCTAACTAATGGACTTCAGCCAAAAGTTAGCTCTTTTTTTAATACATAGTAAGAGTACTGCTTGCTGTTACAACTGGGGGTGGAGTCTTTTTTGTTTATTTGTTTGGATACAGGCTATATAACCTAGGCTGGCCTTGAACTTATAGTGGTCCTTCTACCTCAGTCTCCTAAGTGCTAGGATCACAGCTGTATGCCACCATAATTTGAATTTTTTAAAGACAAGGTTTCACTGTGTTCCAAGCTGGCTTTGAACTCAGTGTACACCCCAGGTTGGCTCTGTGCTTATCTGCCTCTTCCACCAAGTGCTGGGATTATGGACCTGTACCACCATGCCCAGTTTTGTTGTTTCTGATTTTGAAAGCTTAGGATCCTAATGTGAAATGTGCTTTTTATCTCCCTCATGTAAATATTGTAGGTCCCTTAAGTTTTAGATTAACATTCTCTATATCCATACTCTTACCATATTTGAGCTCGGCATTTAATTCAGGCATTACTAGAACATAGGTTAATTTTTGTGTGGTTTCTGTAGATGTGCTTCTGTCATTCTGAATAGTGCTAAAGTTAAATATTTTATGCCAAAATGTTCATATGTTTTAACATAATGGATTGTACTTTAGAAGATTGACTTCATTTTTTTTTTCTCAGGGAACTCCAGCTTTGTTCTTAATTCAGTTAATTTTCAGCTGTTATATACAGGAATGTGGAATAGCAGATGAAAGGTAAGTTTCAACTTTTAAGTAATTTGATATTTTGTTTGTATTATACAGGACTGTATAACAAATGTGATTCTTTTTATGTAGTATTTCATGAAGTTTTCTTAAAGCTTGGAATTCATCTCTTGTTGGCAGTTTTTAGAATTTCGTTAATGTGCAGTAGATACATTTTTGCACCAAGTACTTAGGTTGATTATAATTTTTTTCTTCAGGTTTTTTCTCAACCTGGAATCACTTGTAGGCTGTGTGCTTTCTGGTCCAACTTCACCACTGGCTTTTAGTGACTCCGTTTTAAGTGTTATTAATCAAAATGCAAAGCAATTGGAAAATAAGGAGCATCTCTGCAGAATGTGGAGCATTATAGTCACTCCGTTGACTGAATTGATTAATCAGGTATGATGTCTGCTACACAATTTTTGCAGATTTGCAAAATATTAGAGCAGTTGAGAAAATAGTTTGAATAGAAAAAATTAAGTGTTTTTTTTTTTTGCAGTTAGTAAGTTTTCTATTATTTGTATTGATTTCATTGTGTTCTTTTTATTTCATGGCATTTCCACCTTATTTATTAAAGATGATAGGGATCATAAAGGTCCATTTTCTTCCATAGAGACTGTAAAAACTATGGCTTACATGTGATACATGGGCACTTCTGTGTTTGAGTCTTTGTAGTAGTTGTATTAATAGTGAATAAAAGTCATCTTGAATAGGCTATATTGATAAAACCATGGTACCTTAAAACAGTGTTACCATAGGTCAAGAATTTGTAGAATTTGTTGGGCATTGTTTCACCTTTACTTTTAAAAAGGTATAAGTAGTGAAGAAACATGAAACACAGGTTCTCTATTTATGGAAGCATTCTCTGAGCTGATTCCATTGTAACTCAAAAAGAGAATGAGATTTCCACTTTGGTGGTTCATATCTGCACCCTGCATTGCCAGAAACAGCCCAGAGCTTTACAGCGCTAAGTAAACTTACTGTCCCTGAGCTGCATTCCCAGCCCACAACAACGTTTACATTATAGTGATAGAGGCTCCTCAGACCTACACATATACTGTTCAATGTATTTTTCTGGAATTAAAACATTGTACATTTCTGAAAGACCCCCCACTATTTGGAGAGCAAAGACTTTTCTAAATCCTTGCTTAAATGTGTAAGATTTTGGGAGTTAATTCTGGAATTATATTTTAGGATTTAAATTTCATGCATTAGTTCTCTGGTTTTTGTAAACAATAAATTACTACAAGTTGGTCATTAGAACAAGCAAGAATTTGTGTTTTTAGTTTAACTTTTGTTGGTGCTGAAAGATGGAGCCAGATGCTATACCATAAAGCTATATGCATAGTCCCTATACATGAATTTATTATCCTGGTTCTGGAGGCCAGAAATAGAAGGTCTTAGGTAGGATTGTTTCCTTCTCTACTATGAGAAAGAATCTGTGCATTCCTCTGTGTCAGGTGATCATTAGGTCAGGGATGGCCTTGCTTTCTTGACAGGGTCTTTTTTTTCTTCAAATCCATTTTATTTCACCGAAAAAGTTTGAAGACATGTTAGTCAATGGGCAAAAATGGTACATACATTGTGTATTGTTGTTCTCAAATCATTCTCCCAGAGCAGAAGACATCTGCATTCAATTGTTCAAATAATATCTGCACAAATCTATTTCTTCAGTAAACTCATAAAAATTAGAAGTGAGATAAGAGTCTTGATCTGTAGTCTAGGCTGGGCTCAAAGTTGAGGTCCTCTGCCTTAGACTCCCAAGTGTTGGGATTACAGGTGTGCACCTTCATGTGCCCCAAAACTCGGGCTTGTTTTAAAACATGTCCCTCCTCGCCCAGTGGTACTGGGGCTTGAACACTGGGCCTTTACACTGAGGTTTCACTGCAATTCTGGCTGGCCTTGAATTTGCAGTGATCCTCCTGCCTCAGCCTCCCGAGTACTAGGATTACAGGTGTGAGCTACCACACCTGGCCTTTTTTGTTTTAATTTTAAATATCACTAATAAGTGATGGCAAACTTTTTAGAGAGTGAGTACACACATTGCATCCCCAAATCCAGTTTTTTATTGGAAAGTGCTAATTCTGCAGTTAAACCTGAAATGTGATGCTCAGTTGCTGGGGCTCTGGGTCTCTGCGTGCGCCATTATGCTGAGTTATCCTGCCTGGGTTTGAATTTGTGAACCTCTTTCCTTCTGCTGGATTTACAGGTGTGTGCTACTAGATGCGTCTCTGACTTCCTGATTTTCAGATGTATCCCTTCAATTTCTGCCAGTGTTTTTCTTTTTTTTCCACATAGTATATGCCTCCTTGTGTCTTCTGTGCCTCTCCACATCTTCTACGAAGAACTTACCATTTGTTGGATTTAGGCCCACCCTAATGTAGTATAACCTCTTAACTTTTTTTTTAACCTTTGTAAAGAATAGCCAATCATTGGTGGGTATGCCATTCAGTCTGAATATTCTGATTACCTGAAACAATTGCAAATTTGAACCCCATCCTAGGCAACTTTAGTAAGTCTTTGTCTCCAAAAAAAGTGGATGGGGTGGCAGTATATAGTTCAGTATGAAAGCCCTGTGTTCAGTCTCCTGCAGGAAAAAAAGTCTGTTTTCAGGTATTCATATTCCTGGGTAGCAAGGAATGGGAGTTTGGTATCTCTTGAGTATGTTATGATTGTGAGACATAATTCTCATGAGTAGCTTGTTACTCTATAGGATTAGAATCACGAGTTTTGTCTAACTGTTGTTTCTCTTATTTCAGACCAATGAAGTAAATCAAGGTGATGCCTTAGAACATAATTTTAGTGCCATCTATAGTGCATTGACTTTACCAATAAATCATATTTTTTCAGCACAGAGATTTCCTGTGGTAAGACAGTGTCAAGTTATTATGTATAAGAAATTTATACTTTCTGGAAATACTACCATTTTACTCTTTATAATAAGCTCCAGTAGTAATTGTTCAGTAAATAAGACCTTGGTGTGACTTAATTATTAGCATAGATGAAAATTGTGAAAAGAATTCCTTTTTACTTTCAATTGATGGTACTGTGATACTTATTTTTGAAGTTGTAACTTTTGGGGGAGAGTGGGTAGGGCTATTACACTATGCTATACTCTGATATGTTAAATGTAACACTTTAAAAATGTATTGATTCTACTAAGTTTCTGGTATACAGGTATACATGTATAAAATTTGTTTATTGTTAGGTGACCATGAAGGCTTTACTTCGAACTTGGTCAGAACTGTATAGAATATTTGCTCGCTGTGCTGCTTTGGTAGCAACTACAGAAGAGAATTTGTGTTGTGAAGAACTTTCTTCTAAGATAATGTCCACTTTAGAAGATGAAGCCTTTTTGGTGAGTTTGTTCTAATATATAATATGTATTTGAAGGATTCTTTTACAGTAAAAGAATATACCATTTTTTATCATTTACTGGTGCTTTTACAGGAGACCAATGTTAATATAGAAAACAAAGTAAAACATTGCAAAACCATTTAGATCAGTGTAGTAGAACCATGAAGAGTAAAGATCTTTTACTTTTTTGCTGTCTCCTTTTGCTTGTGCCATTGCACATAAACAATACCAGACTGTTGCTTTCTTTCTTTTCTCATCTTATGTGTTCAGACTTGAGTCAGTCTTGAACGATTGTAGCTTTCTTTTTTTTTTTTTTTGAGACATGGTCTTGATATGTAGCCCAGGCTGACTTTGAATTGTTGGCAGTCCTGTTTCAACCTGCTATGTGCTGGGATTATAGACACCTACCACCTTGCCTAACTACCAATATAGTTTTGTGTATCAGTGTAGAATAAGCCTCCTTTTCTGTGATTCATATAAGTAATTTACATATTAGTAATTGTATGTAAATTAATGTCCTTACCTATGAAATCCTGATGCATTTACTCTTGAAGTAATCGAAGCAGTTTTTCATAGGTGTTAATGGTCAATACACGTTACTCTTATGTGATTTAACTGCTGATATGGAATTGTACAATATGATTATATGGTTCTTTGGAACTTCAGATTTTTTGGTTTTTGTTTCAGTTTTTTTATTTTCATCTTGGAGGCAGGGTCTCACTATGAATTCAGGCTGGCCTTGAGCTCACTTTGTAGGTAGCCCAGTATTTAGGAAAATTATTTTCAGTTTTCTTTTCAAAATTGTCAGGGTTACAGTTGTATGTTTGTTCTTTTCCAGAAGAAATTTGGAGTCTCTTAAGATTTATAGGATATTCCCATCACAATGCATGTTTGTCATTCCAGCTCCTCCATGCCAGCCGGAGGAGAAAGATCACAAATTTGAGGTTAGCCTCGACAACCTATTAAGATTGTCTCCAGATAAGAGAATAAAAAGGGTTGGGTTGTAGCTCAGAGGCAGAACACTTGAGTTCATCCCCAGGAAGAAAACAACCAAAAATTTATAAAATACTTGGTTGAGGTTTTTATTCAACAATGTTTATATTAAATTCATTGATTAAAAGGCTTCATATCTTCTCATAATACCTACTTATTGCTTCCAGGAACCTTTGTATTTCATAATTTAGATCTTCTGAAGTTAATGTGATTTATTTTTTGTGTTTTCTTTTTTTTTTTTTTTTGGTGGTACCAGGGATCAAACTCAGGACCTCGCACTTGCCAGGCAGGTGCTTATGCCACTGAGCTGCTGCCACTTTTCTTTTCTGCCCTTTTCTTTCTTGCTTTTTTTCTTTGAGACAGGGTCTTGCTATGCATTGCAGGCTGGCCTTGGGCTCACTTTGTAGCCCAGGCTGGCCTCAAACTGCAAATAATTCTCCTGCCTCAGCCTCTTAAGTGTTGGCATTATAGGAATGCACCACCACATCTGGCTTTTTCTCACTTTCTTAAGACGGGGTTTGGGCTGGCCTTGAACTCATTATGTAGACCAGGCTGATCTAACTATGAGCCTTCTGCTTTAGCCTCTTGAGTGCTGAGATTACAGGTGTGCCCTGTCACTTCTGATCCTTAATTTATTGTTTTTAAACTGTTTTCAGCTGTTATTATAAACGAGTCCTCTTTCTCCTCCATATTTGTTCATGTCTAGCATACATAAAAGCTATTGCTAGTGGTTTTGTTATTTTTGTTTTGGTACCAGGGATTGAATTTATGACTTCACACTTGCCAGTATCACAGGATTGACATTTTAAGCCTTCAGTTTATATCTTCATTAGTGAGATTGGGGCTGTCTAGTGTTTGTATTGTGATACTAACTTCTTAAAATCTCTTTGAAACCAATTTTCACTTTTCCTGTTAGTCACCAATTCAGATAGTAGTCTACAAAAATGACATCTGTGGTTCCATTTCCTTTCTGTTTTTTTTTTTTAATTTCTGCTGTCTTGGTTAGATATGGTAATCAGAATTTTATCTGTTTTAAAAAGATAGGCATTTAGTTTTATTCTGTTGAACAGAACTTTAATTTTTTTTTTTTTTTTTTTGGTGTGGGGAATTGAACTCACAACTTCATGCTTGGCAGGGAGGCGCTATGCCACTGAGCTATATCCCCTGTCCCTACTTACTTTTCTTTAATCTTACTAACAATGCACCTAAGACTTTTTGTTCGCCAGGATTTGAACTCAGGACCTTGCACTTGCCAACCAGGCATTGTGCCACTGAACTGTATCCCTAGCCCCATACTTAACTGCTGTACACAGAATTACGTTGTCTTTTTTTGTATCACTAGATGACTTGGAAAGGATTTGTTGTTTTTGCAGTGATGAGGATTGAACCTAGTCTCATGCATGCTTATTGAGCACACTGTCACTGACATCTCCAATCCTTCTTAGCCAGATTTTAAGTGTACATTAGTGATATGCATTAAGCCTAATAGTAGAAATTACTAATCGTGTATAACTGAATCTTTGTGACTATTTCTGATGTCGCCCAACTTACCCGTTCTCTTCAGCTTTAGGCAACCACCATTCTTTCAATATGTTGGACAAAGTTTAAATTCTTCAAGGAAGTGTATTATGTAGTTATTTGTCCTTGTTCTAGTTTGCTTCGTTTAGAATAGTGTCCTTTATAGTCACTCATGTGTTTTAAGTAGTAGAAGGTTTTTTTTTTGGTACGAGGACTCAAACTCAGGACCTTGCACTTGCCAGGCAGGTGCTGTGCCACTGAGCTATATTCCCAGCCCAAATTTCTCTTTTTTGAGGTGACTAATAGTCACTTTGGGTACCTTACATATTTATTCTTTTTGGGCATAGGTTGCTTCTGGCTACTAGATATAATGCTGCAGGGAATGTACAAGTACCACATGTCTCTTCAGAAGGCAACTTTCATTCCTTTAGTATATAGCCAGAAGTGTGATTAGTGGATCATATGGTATTTTATTTATTTTAATGAAGACATTTAATGAGTGACATTTGACCCTGTGTTGACATCTGGTCCTCCCTTTCTCTTTAGTTTTCTTGACATGGATTCTTAGTATGTTGCCCAAGATGGTGTTTTTATTTGTGGGCTTAATTGATCTTCCTGCCCCCTTCTCTCACATAGCTGGAACTATAGACGGATACATGCCACTGTGCCCAGATTGGCTTAATTTTTAATTTTTGAGGAGCCTCCATATTGTTTCCCATGATGGCTACATCTCGATTTATATTGCTAGGAGTTATGTAAAGGTTCTTTTTATGTTCTAGCTAACAATTGAGGTCTTTCTGATAATACTGACAGCCACCCTAACAACTCTGAGATGGTATTTCATTGTGGTTTTGATTTGCATTTCTGTGATGGTTAGTGATCTTGAGCAACTTTTCATATACCTGTTAGCTGTTTGTATGTCTTGTTAGAAATGTTTACCTGTAGTTTTAAATTTGATAGTATTCTAACTACTGAGTTCATTGTGCTTTTTGGATATTGAAACTTGCTATATATATAGTTTGCAAATATATTCTATTTCATTATGTGTCTTCATAGAGTTATTTCCCATTTAGAAGTTTTTTTAAGGTCATTGTAATCTCACTTGTCTGTTTTTGTTTTTCTTGCTTTGGTACTCAAATCATTGCTAAGATAAATTTAAACGTTTTCCCATTTTCTTTTACTAGTATTAATAGGTCCACTCTTATAATGTTTATGAAGAGATTGTTTTTATTTGGTTTTTGTTTTTGAATGCTAGGATTGAAACCAGGACCTTCACCCTGAACTAAATTCCTAGGTCTTTTAATTTTGAGACAAGGTTATGCTTAGTCATTAAGTTAGCTACCTTGGGCTTGAACTTCTGCCTAATAAGCTTCCAAGAGTGCTGGGATTACAGGAATGTGTACCTGACTTTAGATGTCTGTTTTATAGCTGGTGTTGAACCACTGTAGTTTGATTATTGAAACTTTGCTGTGTGTCTTAAGTTGGGGAGTGCAGTGGCTTCTGATCTGTAGTATTGTCACACATGATTGCTCTGGTTGTTCAAATCGTTTGAATATTTATCTAAAATGCCATTGAGATACCAATATAAATGCCATTGAATCTGTAGATCATTTGGTAGTACAGACATTTTAGCAATATTCTCCCAGTCAGTGAACATGGTATTCTTTCCGTATTACACAATTATGAAGTTAAATTACTGATTAAGAGTTTTTACAGTTTAAATATGCAGTTTAGCAATAATTCTTTTTTTCTGCGTTTTTTGGGGTAGCAGTTCTTTTATAAATTTCAGGATTATTCTCTTGATTTTGGAACATTTTACTAGTGAACCTTTTCAATCTAAAGAGCTGTGCTGTTAGCTCATGAAAAAGCTTAGTGTGCCTCAGCTTTTTTCTGAGTAACATTTTTGGATAGTTTTCAGCAGTCTTCTGTGTCATTTACTTCCTCTGTATTTGTCATTTGTTTTCTTTTGGTACAACTTTCTGTTCCTTTGCAGTATAAATATTGAGATGTGTTAGACTGATTTTACATTTAAGGTTTTATTTTTATTTTATTTTAGTTTTGAGATATGGCTTCATTGTATAACCCAGGCTGACTCCCAGCTAGTGATCTCCTACCTCAGCCTTAATTCTGGGCTTATAGGTATGTACTACCATGCCCAGCTATGTTCACTGTTTTTATTTTTTTAAAGGAAAAAATTAGGGTCATGCTATGTAGTTAGGCTGATTTTAAACCCACAGTGTATCCCAAGCTGGCCTTGGAACTCTTAGCAGTCTTCCTGCCTCAGCCTCCAGAGTCCTAGAATTGCTGGTGTCCAGCTCCCATTTAATGTTTTAAGTGGATATGATTTCCCTCTACTGAGAATGTTTTTGTTATTGTTGCTGTTGTTGTTTTTCCTGAGACAGGGTCTTTCTGTATAGCCCAGGCTGGCCTCAAACTCATAGCAATCCTCTTCCTTAGTTTCCTGAGTGCCGAGTTTACAGGTGTGTGCCACCACTCCTGGCCTGAAAATATTTTTTGTTTCTGACATTAGCTGTTTCCTCATAGATTAAGTTCTCTTTATATTTAGCATGCTATCATGACACTAGTTCTTATTGTTGTGTATGTTAGTAAAGGTTAATAAGAGCATAACAGTAATTTTGTCACAAACATTACAAAGTATGGGCCTACCAGACCTATATTTTATCCTTTAGAATATTTCTATTGATGAATTATTAAATTCTTATATGAACTACAACAAAAATACTAATAATACTTTAAAAAATTTTTCAATTGTAATGCCTAAATCAGTCTGCACACGGGACAGTAGCACATTCTACATATACATATCACTTATACTGACTGCAGATGTGTTTTGGTTTCCTGACTTTTTTATAGAATATACTTGACATCACAACGGTCTTGCTATTTCCATCAGGAAGTTCTTATATTACATACTATGTAGCTAACCGGTACATAAAATATCAGATAAAGTGCCCTTAATATGTATTGTGCACAAGCCAGGCATGGTGGCAGGTGAGTGGCATGCTCCTGTAATCCCAGCCCTTGGGAGGCTGAGGCAGGAGGATCATTGCAAGTTAGAGACCAGCCCGGGCTTCAAAGTGAGCTCAAGGCTAGCCTAAACTGCATAGACCCTCTCAAAAAGACCAAAAAAAAAAAAAAAAAATTGTGCGTTTAGAATAGGCAGCTCACATTGGCTGTGTACTTGCTTCCAAAACCTAAAAGATAACATCAGAAATAAATTGCTATATGAGCTACAGTGAAAATACCAATAGAATTTCTACAACAAAAACAAGTTTTGCTTTAGTGGTCATATCTAAGGCAGTCTTCACACATGACATCTGCATGTTCCATGTACACATCTCACTTATACTGACAGCACTTGTGCATATCTTTCTTTTCCTTTTTGGCAGTCTTGTTAACCTTGCTTTTCGTGTTTTTTTTTTTCAGGCGCTTCCTAGTATATTAATGCAATATGCACTTAGCAAAATAAAGTATTGATAAAATATCAACTATTTAATTAATGAGTGCTTAGACATTAACATTTTCACATCAGCTGTTTACTTGCTTACAGAACCTAAAAGATAACATCAAAAAGAACCTATGTGAACTACACCATAAGCACAAAAGTATACCACAGAAATCAGGTTTGTCACACCCAAAGCAGTCTTCACACATGATAACTGCATTTTCTGTGCACATGTATCACTTACACTTATAACACATATTTTGTTTTCCAGTACTTCCTTTAGGGTACACTTGACATCCTTTTGTTTTCCTGTTGTTGTAGTAGGTCTTTTGTGATGTTGTACCTGCCTGTTCTCCTGTTAGCTCACCATTGTTCTTCAGGATTTTTTGCATAGTTACCTGGGCAGAAACACTTTGTTTTTCCTCTGCTGTAAATGTCTTATGAGCTCCAGTCCCAATCCTGTTAAGAAAATTGCTCTTTGATATTTTGTACTTGTTATTTTCTTTGTAAACTATCGAAATTAGGATTGATATAAATACAACCATTGGCCAATGCTTTGTGTTTCAGATTATATTGTAGTTGCTGTGTAACTCAAAAAAAGTATTGTGTATCAACAACAACATGTACTCCACATTTGGTTTTGTTGCAGAAAGTTTCCATCTCAGGCTTGTTTTGTTGAGATTTTCCTATCAGTATCTCCATCATGGTGAAATGTTCACATCATCAGTAGCAGTTCATTTTCTTTGTCATATATGAGGCCAATGTTACACCTTTCTGGAATCTGAAGATTGTACTGTATAGTTCTATGTTTGAAATCACAGCATTTCATTTGGAATTTCTGCTTTGCTCCTATGTACATCCAGTTCCTGCACTGATCAACTTGTGCTCTTGTTAGCAAGTAAAACATCATTTGAAACCAGTAAACCAGTGGTTGAAAGTCACATTCTAATTAGTTTGGGAGATGGGAGCAGCAGGTGTGTTCCCAATATCATTCAGTTTATTACCATAAGAATAAGGACCTGATGGCTGAGTTCCAGGATAAAATATCAGATAAATGTCTAAATTGAAACCAAAATAAGTCTTTGTATCTACAGGGTCATAAATTTTTATGCCATATTTTGCATCATTGTTTTTACATTCCTGTGATCACAGTGAGAAATACCAAAGTGTAGCGAACCTGTGAATGCTTTCAGTTCAGCTAATGAGATGTCATAAATACATTTTTGAAATATGGCTGTTTGTGTGTATAGAACATTTTACTTGCATTTCAGTCTTTTTATAATTCACAGTATTTTGTAGCATTTCTGTTATAATTTTTATCTTTGAATGATAGTGCTGGCATTCTATTCAATACCTTTCACCCCTGCCAAGATCCTCACTACATTTTGAGACCTAGTTCTATTGGATCATTCCATTGAACGTATGAGTTTTATGGGCATCGTAAGGATAAACTTTCCTGAATGTTGAGGAACATAAATTTATAGTATTTGGCATATACCAGTTAAGTAGAAATTATGTATAGATGTGTAGTTCTACTTTTTATGGATGAAACTATGGAATATGTAGTTTTATAGTATTTTTGGGAGTAAACATTTATATTTCTTGTGGTGTACTGTTTTTGAATACTGTGATCATAGTTTAAAGTTTCTAATTACGGTACTTTTCTTCCCTAGAATTTGTTGTTCTTGGACAGAATCATTCATATTATTACTGTAATAGTGGATTGCATTGACTTTTCACCGTATAATAATAAATATCAGCCCATAGTTAAATGTAAGTATCTTCTATTTTTTCAGTCCAATATTTCATATATATAGTAGTACCAAATAATTGTCAGGAAAATCCTGTCTTGTCTCTGTCTCTCTGCTATCTGTCTTTGTCTCTGTCTCTTGCTTTGTCTCACACAGTTCCTTTTTACAGCAAATTTTGAAATGTCTTAATTGCATAGATTTCCTCTGTAGCTAATCTTTTTCATTCCTTCTAATGTCTGAACAAAAAACTTAATATATTCTATTTTTTAAATTCAAAGTACGTTTAATTTTAATTGCATATGAGATGTGTTCTGAGTTATATGTATGCAACAGTATTATTTGAAATACTATATTCATTAAGAAATAATCCTGCCTGACAAGCACGAGGTCATGAATTCTATTCCTGGTACCAAAAAAAAAAAAGAAAGAAAATGTTCTTATTTGGAAATCTGATTTTGAAAATGGTAATTGAATTAACATTAAAATTGTAAAGAAAATCATGAAATCAGGTAATTGTGCTTATGATTTTACAGCAAAGTTAAAGTGTTTTTTAAAAATTAAGGTTTTTTTGTTTGTGTGTTTGGTTTTTTTGTTTTTTGAAACAGAGTCTTGCTCTGTATTTCAGGCTGGCCTTGAACTCCCTGTGTAGCTCAGAATAGCCTCTTCTGCCTCAGCCTCTTGAGTGCTGAGATTAGTGATCTGCCACCACACTCTGCCAAATTAACTGAGTTTTTACCATGTTAGTTAAGTTTGATCTGTTGGGATTATAGTATACTGGTTTGAAAAAATATGTATCATGGTTGAGTTAGTAGTAAACACAACTGTGAGCTGTAATCTGATTATCTGAAATATATCCACTTGTTTTCACATGCTCTTAAACAGAAAGTATTACTTTCCAGTAGTAAAAATTCAAGTAGATGTTGAGATTTGTTTTTTTTTCTATTTAGAAAATAATTTCATGCTATGGGCTGCTGATATTGTTTTGGGGGTACTAGGAATCAAATTCGGGACTTGGTGCTTGCTAGACAAGTGCTTATGCAACTGAGCTATATCCCTGGCCCTTGATTTACTTTATTTTTGTTTTTATTTTTATTTATAAAGTTTAAAGGGAGTGAAACAATAAAATGGAAAAAAAATAATAGGACATAATCGTTACTATAATTACATATTCTTATCCTACATAGTTAGCCAGACTGCTGGACCCAGGCCTGCAATGTCATTCAAACAACGTAAATGTCAGATTACTTCCCTGTTTCAGTTACTTCAGTTTTTATCATCTCATCATATCATCTTGATTTCTAAAGCATGCTTTCAAAATTTGTTCTGTATGTGTGTGTAGTTTTTTAATTATTACTAGATAGAATAATAGAACATACTACTCTTAGACATGCTTGAAGTTTCAGCTATCTCCTTTGGTTAAGTAGGACATAATTGATCACTTTGTCAAAAACTTTGTGAATATCAGAATTTTTAAAATGGTATCAAATTATTTTGAAGCTGTTTGTGCCATTGGGCGTGTTTACCTAATTATATCCATGTTGGTACTTCTGACCAATTAGATCTAACTGCATATCAAATCCATGATCTGTAAACCCTGTTAGAATTGTCTTGTGTCTTTTACTGTTGTCTAAAACAGAGCCAGAGATCACTCATAGGTATTTATTTTGCTCTATTAGGCACTAGTCTTTTGCAGATATAAGTGACAATGAATCATGCAAGGTACAGCCTCCCGTACAGCCTGTTGAAATTTTGTTAAAAGACCGACACCTGAATTTCCCTTTTATTTAGTGGGCTGTGATTCATTAGTATTATTCATTGTAGAGCCTAAATATCCCAGGTTGAGGCATTAGCTCACCTGAGTTGTCTCATGTAAAACCTTTTGACACCTCTACATTATTCTTTTGTCAGTGCTGACAGAAGATACTCAGCTTTCTCTTGTATTTTCTCAGTGGACTAGAATTAGGCATTTTCCCAGGGGAATACGGTTCCTTTGAGCTGAGACTGGTAGTTCGAAACCAAAATTTATTAATTGCTACTCTGAATCCTGTCAGTGGATAATGCTAGGAATTTGGGGGATGTCATCTGTTACCTGTTTGAGGTTTCTGATCTTTTGTAATGTAATTTCTTCTTGCTGTTGAGGTCCTAGTCGTGCTGTGTATTTTAGGCTGGCCTTAAACTCACTGTGATTACAGATGTGTGCCACTATGCTAGTGGGGTACCTGTTTTTTTTTGATTAACTTTTAGCCACCATCTAATATCACATGGATAGTTACTTCCTTTTGTGGCGGGGGTGCCAGTACTGGGGATTAAACTTACAACCTCGTGCTTTGCCAGGCAGGCGCTTATGCCACAGAGCTAAATCCCCAGTGAGTTATTTCCTTTTTCTGTATTTTTACTTATCTACTCTTTTAACAATCAGGAGCCTGGTGGTCATTATTCTCAGTCTGTAATTTAATTAGCTGTTAGTATGTTACCAGTTTTCACGTAAGGTGTCACATTAACCTCAATATCCTGTCCCAAGAATTTCTTATTAGCATTTTCAGTGTATTTTCATGTTCGAGGAGTTGATCTCAGGGTAAAAAGGTGTCTTCCTTTAGGCTTTTCACCACAAGAGATTTTTAATTACTATGCACTGATTTAGAATTTTCTTAAATCTAAAGTTTTTTAGCTTAGAATAGCTTGTTTGAGAGAAAAAAGTTAATTTTAGATTGGACAAGATTTGGACCAAGAAAAAAAGTCAGTGATTTTAAGAAAAATAGGTAGTAATGTTTGTTTGCATTTTTTTCTTGAGGTTTGGATATATATGTAAGGAATCAGTATACTGTAGATGTCAGGAAACAATTTTTAATGGAAAATTTTAGTTTTGAAAACTTAAAATCTAGTTGTAAGGCTTGACTAATGTGGTCTACTTTTTTTATAAAGTAGGTTTTTTTTTTTTTGTCTTTTTCCTTTTTATCGGTACCGGGGATCAAACTCAGGACTGCATGCTTGAAAGGCAGGGACTTATGCTGCTGAACTAAATCTTTAGCCCCTATAAAGTAGTTTTTGAAATGATGAAAAATAAAATGAAATTTTATTGTTCCTCAAGGAAAATAATGGTTATTTTTCTTGCCAGTAGTTTTTCTGTTGTCTGGTTTTCGTTTGTAAAGAAATAGTTTACTGTCATATTCGTTAATGGTGTATCATTTTAGAGTTTATTTGGGATGTCAGTTAACAAAAGCATGTATATAAATGTATCATTTAACTATGTGATATAAATTATTCAGGTAGACATTGACACTGTTTTCAAAGTAGCTAAGCTTTTAATCAATTCATTTATGTCTTAGCACCACAGAGGTCTTCAGATTGGGCCAAAAAGAAGAAAGAGCCCCTAGGAAAATTGGCCTCTTTGTTTAAACTTACTGTAAGAGTGATTTGTTCGTTCCATACCTTGAGCTTCAAAGAAACACATTCTGATACTCTGCTTGGTATTGGCAACTCAATCATCAACATGATTTCCAATCTCCTTGGACATATTTCTTTGCCTTCTGTGATTCGAAAAATATTTACCGTATTAACAAGACCCTTGGCATTATTTTATGAAAATTCCAAGTAAGTGTTTTGGATTTAGTTGAATTAAATGTATGCAGTTTAAATAAGGGTGTTGTTTGCCTGTCAGCTTTGCTGTGCATAGTAATCTGGACAGTTTTACTGAGAATGAGATTGTATGTTAAAAAGATAGAACAAGGGCCGGGGATTAGCTCAGTAGCACAAATGCCTGCTTGGCAAGTGCAAGGTCCTGGGTTTAATCACCAGTACCAAAAAAAAAAAAAAAAAAAACCCCAAATTCTAATTTGACGTAGAAATTAGAAATCCTTTCTTGTATTTATTCCTTTGTCCTTTGCAATTTGGTGTGTGTTTTCAGAATTGCTTATAAAAATAAGCATATTTACTAAATTTTATATTTCTTGAAAAACAAAAAATAATAGATAAAATATACTTGGCATGCTGTTCTCCAGTTAAGCATATGGTAGGCATTTAGCATTTCATTTGTGTTTTGCATCATTGATGTGATGATCTCATTGTATAAAATAGGTTTTCATTATGCTTGATTGGTTGATATGCAGATACACATTTAGCTCTTTTCCTTCACAGCAAACAATCGAATGTTACTTGTAAAAAAATTTAGTGCTTGTTTTGAACATTTTCTGAAAAACAAGATTTTCTTATATTGTTTTATATTAAAATATACTGTTAATTTTACAAAGCATTGGGTTTCATTGTACCAGTTGATAGATGCATAAAAAATGTCCTGAGACCTCCCATTTCCCTCTTTTATTTGTATACTTTCCTCTTGTTTTCTTCCTCTCTTCTGTCTCCCTAGAACAAGATTCTTTAAATAAATGCACTTAAATTTTACAATTAACTTCCAGAAGTACAATTTACTACTTTTACATTTGAAATAAATAGTGCCCTAGAACAACTATAGAAATGCCAAATAACATTTGAAAGAAAATCTCAGTATTCTTTTTAGCAAGCTTATGTGGTTCAGTTGTAATAGTTCTTTTGTAAATTAAATTTACAGAAACAGTTTTAAGTGGCAAGTTTTGTAATGTGCCAGAAACAGTCCCCAAATCCATTAACCTTATTACACTGGCAAATTTGTCTTTGTTTTATCAAGAATAATAATTTATTGCTTTTAAAGCATTCAAAAAGTAGTACTATGTGACCACTTTAACTTATATTGTAGATTGTTTTCTGTCATTTATTTTCTAAAGATGGGTTTCACACTTTGTTTCCCAGCTTTTTGTTTGTTTGATTGGGTCTTTTTCTTGTTGAATCTTGGGACACTGTATATGTATACCTCCTTGTTTATGGCTGTATTACTTTTTAGATTTAGCTTGATAGGTAGTACGTCATCTTCCTAAAATATGAATGGTACTACATTTTATGTGTTTTTCTTTCCAGCCTTGATGAAGTTCCTAAAGTGTATAGTTCTCTGAACAACAAGGTAAAAATAGACTGTTGTCCATAAAACATACTTAGAAAATGGGTTTAGGTAATCACCTTCCATAAAAATAATTATGATTTTAAATAAGTTTATAATACGGTGGGGACATTTAATATGATATAGATACATCACAGATAGTTTCTTTTGAAAAGATTTTGTCATGTTATTTTGAAATTATATTAATTATCAAGTCCTGTGTTACGTTTTTATGTAGGAGGGTAGGCCTCTAAAGTTACATAGTTGAAAGTTAGGCAGATAATTATTACTTTTAAAATGAATGTAAAATCTTTTTTCCCTGTTAGTGGAGAATAACCTCAGTCAAGCTGGAGTGTCAGTAATCAAAATAAAATTACCTAGTAGTTTGCCAACTTACAGAGGGATGTATATTACTGTGACCATGGGGACTTGATATAATCATTCATGTGTTAAATATTGAAATAACAACATATACTTTGATATTTAGTATACTTCTTGTTTTTGTTCTTTCTTTTTTCCTAGTTAGAAAAGCTACTAGGAGAAATTGTTACTTGCCTGCAATTCAACGCTGGGACCTTTGACAGTGAACTTCTTGAACAGCTCTCCCCACTGTTATGCATAATATTTCTGCACAAAAATAAACAGATTCGAAAGCAGTGTGCTCAGTTCTGGAATGCCACATTTGCTAAAGTGATGATGTTGACTTATCCTGAAGAGTTGAAGTATGTTCTATAAGATGATGTGAACTGGTATTTTGATTTTGACCCCAACTTTCCTAGGCCAATTGTTGCAGAAAAGTTTTAGTTTAACTATTATAAAATCTGTGGTTAGTTAACATTATAAACCTTTAGCGGAGCTTTAAAGTAGTTTGATTCATAGGAACCAATAAAAGCAGTTTGCAATTATCCTTAATAAAAGAAACAAGGGCAGTGATTATTAAAGCTCAGTGTATATATTTAATGTATTTTGATTCTGTTTGAAACTTTGCATGATAAAACTTTGCATGAGACTTTTTAAAAAGAAAATGGAAAATCTGAAATGAATAGAGTACAATTTAGATACTGTCTCATTTATCCCACTTTCATATGTGTGTGTTAGTAATGTTTAGGCCAGTTACATTTTGCTCCTTCAAAAATTAAAATGCTCTAGTTAACATCACAAATACCAATACCCTTGACTCAAATATGTATATATATACATATTTTTTTTGTTTTTAAAGACCAGTACTAAGAGAAGCCAAACAGAAAGTTTTGCTTCTATTGCCTGGTTTGGAAAATGTTGAAATAATGGAAGAATCCAGTGCATCATACTCAGATGCAGTAAGTTCTGTTTTGGTTTTTTAAATTTTTGACTAATACTTGAACTTTATTAAGTAATCCATAGACTTGGAATAGAAGAGTTTCGTAACATGTGAATGCGTGTGTCTGGTATGTATACACACACTTTTTTGAATTAAGGACAGAAATCTTCACTAGATTATAATTAAGTAATCTTGAACTCAGGACTTATTTCGTACTGTTTTACAAAGATTGATGAGCATTCTTTTAGAAAAACTAGAAATTATTTTCTCTTTGCCTTGGATCTAATTTCTCCTATCAGAAGAACAATCTTTGGGATCACAGTCATCCAGGATTAGAATCAGGATTGCTTTGGCTAACAAATATACTATCTGGAGATCTGGTAGTTGAGAGGAATAAAGACATTGAAGTGCTGGCGCAACCTTAGAGGGTGTTTTTTTCCTGTTCAGTAAGAGATGGTATATAACCATCCAACACCCCTGCCAACCGCGAACCTGTTGTGGTCTGGAGATTGAACTCAGGCTGTCATATTTGCCACTAAGCTATCCCCCTCTCTTTTTACTAATTTGAAAAACAAGTCTCACTAAGTTGGCTCAGCTGGCTTGATGTAACTATCTTTTTTGCCTCTGCCTCTGGCTTCTGGAGTAGCTAAGATTACATTCATGCCCCCCATCATACTGAGTTTATTAGTGTATCAGTTTTTTTTTTTTTTTTTTTTTTTTGTATAGAATCTTTTTTTTTTTTTTTTTTGGTCTTTTTCCTTTTTATCGGTACCGGGGATCGAACTCACGACTGCCTGCTTGCAAGGCAGGCGCTTATGCCGCTGAGCTAAATCCCCAGCCCCGTATAGAATCTTTTTTTTAAAAAAAAAAAAGAGAAAATACCGAAATAGTGATAACTGAATTCTGTTTTGTTTTGGGGTTTTACTAAATAGAATTTCTCACCAGATCAAAAGAGTTAGTGTTAATACTGGTTCTGTGTAATTTAGGCTATATCATATATTCTGATGTGAGAAAATGTCTTTGGCATATTAATATTTTGTGTCATACATGCTTGCCTGCCTGCCTATTCTCCCTCTTTCCTTTCCTCCCTCCCAGTGCCAACAGCAGACCCTGAAAACGTTCTGCCACTGAATTATGTTAATGCTGTTTTTGTTGGTTTGTGACAGTCTAGCTAAGTAGCCCTGGAACTCTCAGTCCTCCTGTCTTAGCCTCCTAAATGCAGGAATTACAAGTATGCACCACTTACCACACTTGACTCCTCTTCATTCTTTAATGTAGAAAATTTTACAGCTTTTTTTTTGTCTTACAAATATTTTCAGTAATAGTTAACAACTTTGATTTCCACTGACTGGATTAACTTTGCAATATGATTTTTATATCTTGGTTTCAGAACTCATACAAGTTAATGTTACAAAATGTAAACGTTGGACCAGTTCAGTTGACTGAGTGTTTTTCATTTGTTTTCAACAAGCTTGAATAGGCAGAGATTTGACATTATGTAAAATTGAGTATTCAGTAAATTAAAATTTTCAAAGTATGAAAAACCAGATTATGTTTAATAAAATTGTTCTATTTTTTTACTAAACAGACAGAAAATTCACAATTAAATATCAAGATAAGTGGTTTGGAAAGAAAATCAAATGGAAAAAGGGATTCCTTTTTGGCACAAACAAAGGGAAGAAAAGAAAATGTGAAGCTGTCTGCCAAAGTATGTTCAGAAATGTATTTAATAGAATTTTTTAAAAAGTATAGTAATTTTGGTAGTGGAACAATAAATGTTTGAAATGGAGTAAATGTTTGAAAAAGACAGGTTTGTGAGGAAACGAGAGTTCTGGAAAGAATACTAAGATAGCAAGGAAATGTAGATTCCTTGTGTGTTGATTCTTTCCTAGTTTTTGTTTGTTGGCGTCTTATCCCCCAGGCTTGAAACCAGGGCCTCACACTAGGCAAACACTTTACCACTGAGCTATATTACTGTTGATTCTGTGTTTATGTGTGTGTGTTTGTATTACTAAGTTTATTGGCACAATTTAGAGGTACATAATGATCACATTCATCATTGGGAATTTGTACCTGTAGATGATATATCTGGATTTTGCCCTTTTTTCTCCCCATTTCTCTTTTCGCCCTTCAATCCTCCTTTCCCTCTTCATTTACAAAAGCTTTGTTTCCATTCTTCCTTTGGGTTTCACTGTGCAGTTCAGGCTGGCTTCAAACTTGTAGCAGTCTTGCCTCAGCCTCATGAGTACTGGTTTTACAGGCGTGCGTTACCACGTCCAGTCTAGTTTATCATCCTTTTCTCATTTTTTTTTCTTTCCTCCTCCTCCATTCCTAGTTCCCTTTCCCATTTGAACATTTTCTTAGTTCACAATATCTATTATATACTTAATCATTCTTCCTTAATCATTCTTCTAGTTTCTCACACCACAAAAACAGTGCATTATTTTTACATACATGTTCAATTCACTGAAGAGTGTGGTATCAAGGTACATCCATTTAGCTAGAAATGTGTCCAGTTTGTCATTTATTACAGAGTGGTACTCCACTGTATAAAAAAAATTCACATCTTGATGTGATTTTTAGGTTGTGATTGTGATTTTTTGATGAGCATTTAGGCTGTTTCCAAGGTTTAACCTATGACCAACCATACCACTGTAAACATGAGTGTACATATATCATTGAAGTATGTTTTTAATTCTTTTGGGAAGATACCAAGAAAAATAGCTGGGTCAAAGAAAACATCTAGTTTTAGTTATTTGCAGAATCTCCCACACTGATTTCCACAGTGGTTACACCAGTCTACGCTCCCACCGACAGAACAAGATTCCTTATCCCCCACAGTCCCACCAGCATTTGTTATTGGTTGATTTCTTTATGATAGCCATTTTTTTCTGAGTAAGGTCAAGTCTCAGCATTGTTTTAATTCTCATCTTGAATTACTGGTGATGCTGAACATGATTTCATAATTTGTCATTTGTACTTTCCTGAAAAGTGTCTATTCATTTCAGTTGTCTGTTTTTGGATTGGTCTTTTAAATTTGTGGCGTCTATTTGTGAGGAGCCACTGGCAAAAATTTTTACCCACTTTGGGTTTTCTCTTCCTCTCTGATGGTTTCTGTTGCTGGGCAAAAGCTTCTTTTTTTTTTTTATCGGTACCAGGGATTAAACTCGCAGCCACACACTTGCAAGGCAGGCACTTCCCCAGTCCCAAAAGCTTCTTAATATGAGATCCCAGTTGATTCTTTGTGTGATAGTTCCTGTGCAATCGGGATTTTGTTCATAAAGTCTTTGCCTACACCATGTCTTCAAAATTTCTACCTAGTCTGTGTTCGAACAGATTGAGTGTTTCTGTTTTAATATTTAGAGCTTCAGTGGATGGTGAAAAATAGGTGTCTAGTTTTAGTCTTGGGCATCTGGAGGTCCAGTTTTTCCAGCACCATTTATTAAAGAGGCTTTCTTCCAGTGAACATTGTTGGCCATTTTGTCAAAGATAACGTGGCTGAGTGTCTTTGGAGTTGTTTCTTCTCCTTACCTGTTCTGTTGATCCTCTGATCTGTTGTTTTGTTTTTTTATTTTGTTACGTATATTTTTGCCAGTGTCATTCTGTTTTTATCACTAATTCTGTAGTATAATTTCAAGTCCAGGATTGTAATGCCCCCTGCCCTGCCCTTGTTGTCCAGAGTTGCTTTTGCTAATCTAGCTTTCTTGTGGTTCTGAATGAGTTTTAGAATTGTTTTCTCTAGTTCTGTGAGGTATGCTATTGATATTTTGATTGGGATTACATTAAATCTGTATAACAATTTTGGAAGTATGGCCATTTTCACTCAGCTGGTTTTTCCTACCCAAGAGGGCAAGGAATATCTTTCTGTTTTTTGATATCCTCTTTGTTCTTATTTTTCAGTGTAGCATATTTCCAACGTAAAGATCTTTTACTTCCTTTCTTAGATTGATTCCTAAGTATTTGATTTCTTTAAATGCTATTAAAGGTGTTTCTCTAATTTCTCTCTCAGTGAGTTTGTTATTTGTGTTACAGGAATGCTATTGATTTTAGAATGTTGACTCTGTATCCAGCTACACTATCAAATTTGGTTATTAATCTAGAAGTCTTTTGGTGGAGTTTTTGAGGTCTTCTGTGTAGAGCAACATGTCACTTGCAAATAGTGATAATTTAACTTGTCCTTTTCTTATGTTTATTTCTTTCTCTCTCTCTCTTTTTTTTTTTTTTTTTTTTGCCTTTTTCCTTTTTATCGGTACTGGGGATCGAACTCAGACTGCCTGCTTGCAAGGCAGGCGCTTATGCCGCTGAGCTAAATCTCCAGCCCCTCTTCCTCTTGTCTAATTGCTCTGGCTAGTGTTTCCAGAACTATATTGAATAGTAGTGGTGATAGTAAATACCCATGTCTTGTTCCAGCTCATTGTTTATTTGGGAAATTCCCTGAATGGTGATTCTTACTGTGGGAGCAGGCAGCATTTGCACAGAGAGCTTGAAGAATAATTTGCTATGTTATAAAATCCCATGCCTATGTTTTGTTTGATAGGCACTTCTCTTACTTCAGGTGGATTTTGGCATCCTGATGTTATGTCCTTTCCTTTCTTCTAATTCCTCGTGTTTTTAGATGATTTTTCTTTTGAGTTACTGCCCAGTAGCTCTTCTATTCAACTATGTTGATGATTCTTTGTTAAAAACAGTAATTCTGTGTAATGCTTGTAATTATTCTTCATAAATTATATTCCACATGCTTATTCTTGGCAGTTTTTATTTGAAATGGAATGTGTCTAAATAGGATAACATCGTAATATAAGAGAATATTTTAGATGTTTGATATAGAGCTGTTATTGTAGAGTTTAATATTTTGAATAGAAATAGTTCATAGTTAACACTTCTGTTTTAAACTCAAAAGTAAATTATCTGTCTAGTTGTCTGTTACTGACTTTTCAGTAGCAAGCATTCTCTTTTATAACCTCCAAACCATACGTACATTCCAGAATTTTGAGATTTGAGACCCTGGTAAAATAAAGAAAAATAGTTCAAAGACTGATACACTCTTACAGCTGTTGGAAATACACATTCTTATAGCTATTGGAAATAGAATGAAAAGAATAATTGTGGTGAAAATTTTTATTTCCTCTTTCAAACTAGTTGGTTTTCTATGCTGGCATGAAAATATAATTTACATATGCTTTATAGTTGAGCACAAATTTGTCTTCTTTTTAAATAACACTTGATGGAATAAAGACATAAAAAACCAGAAATTTGGTATGATTGTAGTGTGCACTTGAGCTTTAAGCTTAAAAAATTTTTTTGTCAAACTTTCAGCATTACAAAAGCATTAGAAATAACTAGAAAATAGTTTGGAAACTAAAATGTATTTTTTTAAAAATCTGCAGCTGAAACGAGAGTCTTCATCTCTAAGAGTAAAAAGTGAACCTCTTTTGGAAGAGGAAAAGTCTACTGATTTTGTGTTGATACCTCCAGAAGGAAAAGAATCAAAGGAAAGAATACTAACTGAACATCAAAAAGAAGTACTCAAGACAAAGCGGTTGGTAGACCTTTTTGTGAATTTAGTATTCTATATTGATACTTAAATTTAACACAGCAGATTATAACTTTGTTGCCAGAAATTGTATGTTGTTAGATATTGCATGTTCTTTATTCTTTTGGGGTTCTGGGGATCAAACCTAGAGCTTTACATATGGTAGGCAAGCAAGTGTACTAGTGCTCCTGAGCTCTATAACCAGCCCGTTAAATTTTAATGATAGAAGATATTATAATATATAAAGTGACGTAATAGTATTCCTAATGTCCCTAAACTAAATTTCCTTGCTCAGATGATTTAATGAAAAATAGTTATCTGGGTCTTGGTTTTATATTGTTTTATAAGATATAGAATTATAAAAATTTGTGTGTGAGAGAGAAAGAGAGATATGGGGGCTTGAACCCAGGGCCTTTGCACTGAACTATATCCCCATTCCTTTTGTTCTGTATTTTAGGGTAGGTCTCACTGTACAGCTGGCCTCACTGTGTAGCAGTGAGGCCAGAGAGGCCTTGGCCTCTCAACTGCTGGAGTTACAGGCATGTTCCCCTACACTTCAAATCTACAGAGCTAGCTATCTAGCTATTTACTTACTTACTTATTTATTTATTGTCTTTTTGAGACGGTCTCACTGTGTAGTTCAGGTGGCCTTGAGATCACTTTGTAACCCAGCCTGGTCCTTAACTCCCAACCATCTTCCTCCCTCAGCCTCCTCAGTGCTGGGATTATAATTGTGTGCCATAATACCTGGCTTATCCAGTGCTTTTTAAATTTTTATTTAAAATTTTATTTGTGCTGCTAAAGCTAGCACATACTTTAAATAAAATTTAAATTTGGCTAAGTTGCCCAGCTTAGAGTCTTAACTTGGGTTATAGGTAACTGCCACCATGCACAACACTGTAAATTGAGGTTCTGGGATTTTTTTTTTTAAATACTGGTGATCAAACTCATGACTTCGTGTTTGCCAGGCATGCTCTTACACCACTAAGCTAAAGCCTCATCTCCCCACATTGTAAATTGAATTGAACCTAGAGCCTTAAACTGAGACATATCTCCAGCTGTTTCTATTTTTATTTTGAGATAGAGCCAAGACTCAAAATTAGGATTCTCCTATTTCAGCCTCCCAGCGTGCTGGGCATAGCCGTATGCTGCCATCCCTGACTTAAGCAGATTTTTGGAATTCTATAAAATCTTTTTCAGGTGTGATATTCCTGCCATGTATAATAATCTGGATGTTTCACAAGATACTGTATTTACTGATCACTATAGTCAGGAAGACTCTGTGTAAGTATTGAAGCTATTAAACTTGAAAATTTTTAAGTTTTCTAATTTTTTTTAGTAACTAAAAGTAATTTGTTTCATTGTTTATCTCAGACAAACTCCTACTTTAACTGAAAAACCAAAGGAGGATACCAAGGTGGTGACTAAGGTACATGCAGTTTTTCACTTTTTAGGGTTTTTGAATCATTCTTCCATTATGGATTTTCTTAACTCACTGGGCAGTTTTGTAATAATAGGTCTTCATTTTGTTAATTTTAAAATTGCATCGTAGCATCTCCTAACTCCCAATTATGCTCTAACAGAATTGTAGTTCTGTGAATGTTTAAAATAGACATATTTGGGTTTTATTGAATATTTGCAATTAGCAACAGTCTGGTAGACATCTGCCATTATTTTTGGAATGTTTGCAATATATTGGAAACACTGTTCCTTTAAAGTGCCAAAATTCTACATTCAGATTTCCCTAGAAAGTCATTTGTTTGGTTAATTTGTGTGTATGCATATGTATTCTGTGCAGGAAGAACAAATGAAGAGTGACACTGTCATTCAAGATGCCTTGGAAAACTGTGGTATGGATGAACATGTCAAAAAGGCTTCTTTTTCAAATAATGAGTGTGGTTTTGTTCCCAAAACCAATCCAGAAATAATGAGCGGTAGTAACGAAGCCAGAAAAAACAGTTTAATTTCATCAAAGAAAACGTCAACAGAATGTGCATCTAGTGCAGAAAATTCATTAGTCAGCAGTCAATCAATTTCTGATGCCAGTATTTCTGAAACTCCCCCACAAACTACAAGTCGGAGGCAAAGTTTTATTACCTTGGAGAAGTTCGATGGTTCAGAGAATAGACCTTTCAGTGTACCCTCTTTGAGCAGTATGTCGTCAAATACTTTGGTGCAGAATAGCCAGGAAAACATGACTACAACAGATAATACATCAAAAACAAATAAGAGAGAAATGATGCATTCAAAATCTGATTCTGAAAAGAACCTTCATGGAATTAGGAAATCAAGCCGGAGATTGAGTAAAGTTGAGAAGTCAGCAAGTAAAAGATCTAAACCCTTAATAAAATCTCAACAGGAGGAAAATCAAGAATTGGTTGAAGGCACTATATCTTTAGAAAATAATTCACCTGTCTTTTTTAATCAAACAGACTGTTCATCAGATGGTCAGACTCATATTTCTGACTCTGTTCCAGAGCATGAAGATAGAAGACCCAAACTAACATTAGAAAATACTGTGTTATTGGAAAACGGTACTGTCCAAGACAAAAACATGGGGATTAATTTAGAATCCAAAGAAAATACACCTCCAGCGCAACCCCCAGCAGATCAGATAGTAAATGAAGATAGTCAGGTTCAGGTAACTCCAAATCAAAAAACTCTGAGACGATCATCAAGGCGACGTTCAGAAATAACAGACGCTGTTGGTGATAACCAAGATAAAGAAAATAGTCATCAAAAAAAGGAAAGACATAAGGAAGAGGAAAAACTTCAGGGCTTATTGCATGTAAAAGATGATGTGTTACCTAAACAGAAACTGACTTACGAACAAACTGGGCAGGAAAACTTACTTGAGAAAGAAAGTAATTTACATGAGAAGGCTTGTGGTGAAACCAGTGTTAATGCTGACATTGATCAAAGTAAAAGAAAACCAGACCTTGAGAATGTTAATTCTCAGGGAGATAGTGCCCTGGACATTGTAGATAAGTCCTCTGAGAGACCTTTAAGAGGACGAACACGTTACCAAACAAGAAGGTTATCTCAGGGTTTGCTTTCTAGCATTGAAAACTCAGAATCTGATAGTTCTGAGGCAAAAGAAGAAGGTTCTAGGAAGAAGAGATCTGGAAAATTGAAAAACAAAAACAATGACAGTATTGATACTGAACAAGAGGAAAAAATCACAGAAGAGGAATCTGGAAGTGTCACGAATCATACACAAGATTATAAAGCAATTTCTGAGATAGATGTAGACAAAAAGCCTCAGGTTCTTGAAAAAGGTCAGAGTAATACTATAATACTTCAGGATTCTAAAACATCTGTGGGCATGTTGCAAGTTTCTGTTGATGTGCCAAACACATGCGAGGAAAGAGTCAAGACTACCAAATGTTTAGAGTCTTCCTTTGCAAGTTCGCCTATGCCAGAATCAAATTTAAAGACTAGAAATGCCAGTAAGAGATCAGTTAAGCAAGATTCTGATAACAGTGTGGGAGAATGCTCTAGAATTGGGGCATCAGAAATGTCTACACTTTCTGAAAAAAATGTCCAGACAATTGAATGCCACCATAAGAGAAGTAGGAGGGTGAGAAGATCTAAAGGTTGTGACTGCTGTGGGGAAAAATCTCAACCTCAGGAAAAGTCACCCATTGGGTTAAGGAACACAGAAAATACTGACATAAAGAGCAGTGAAATAAAGACCAGTGTGCAAACACCTGACACAGTATTAGAAACAGATTCTAAAGCTAATTTGTGTTCTGAAGTGAAAGTTTTAGATGAACGTGCAAGTGTGAGTTTTAGTTTGGTTCTCAAGGGGAATGACACTATTAATGATTCTGTATTGGGACCTGAAACTGAGTTGAAAAAAAATACTATTCAAAAGTCTTCTGAAATAATAAGTTTGAAAGAAAAAGCTTGTGATACAAATTCTGGTGAAGCATGTGATACAAATTCTGGTGAAGCACTGTGTCCTGAAAGTGAAGAACCATCTAATAAAAAGTTTAAAGCTGAAGACCCATGTTTAGAGAACAGCAAGGACATTTCAGAGGCATATCATTTGGATACCACAGGAGAAAACCCAGAAACAACACTAAAAATAGAACTTAATGTTGTTAATATTAAAGGAAATGTATGTAAAGCAAGAGGAGAATCCAATATAGAGGTTGTAAAAGTTACCAAATTAGATGCAGAAAACTGTGAATCTGAAGCTAGCGTCTCTGAAAAAGTGTGTGTCAAAAATGACACTTCTGAAGTGGCAACAGAGGAATGTAAGAGTAGTGTTGAACCTAGCACAGAAACAGGTGACAGACAAGATGTCAAAGAAGTGGCACCTGAGGACTTTTGTTCAGGTGTTGGCCTTTGTGATAACACCTCACCTATAAATGTGGAACCTCAGACTGACATATCTGAACAAATAGCAGGTGGTAAACTAGGTGACCAAAATGAGTCAGTTACAGCCTCATCTGAAGAAATGAATACTAACATGGAAAATTCTGAAGAAATAGTGATTAATCACGTGAGTAATGAAATTGACAATGTCACAGAAACAGATGAGAATGTAACTACTAAAACTAAGTCAGAAATGAAAATAGAACAGTTGAATGTAGAACTTGACAGTTTTGTTTCTGACACACTTGAAATGAACACTGAGGAAGAAAAGATTGACTCTAATAAAACTGAAACTAATATTGAACTTTGTAAGTCTGAAGAAACAAATTTAGATGACAATCAAATGGTAGTGGGAAATATTTTATTGGAAGTTAATCATACTCCAGATAAAGCAGAAAAACCAACAGAGTCTTTGACATCTGAAACAGCTGTCTCTGAACTAGTAACGGAAAACATTAATTCATCTCCTGAAAAACTGAGGGAACTTGATTCTTTGCTCATGTCAGCAAATGACAGTCCTAGTGCCACACAGACACGCTGTGTCTGGTCTCCTTTGGCTTCTCCATCTACCAGCATTTTAAAAAGAGGACTAAAACGACTTCAAGAAGATGAGATCTCATCACCTATTAACAAGGTAGGAATGTGACTGAATACTAATTAGTCTAATGTTAGCCTAAAATACTGTTCTGGATTGCAGTGACATTGGGCAAGTGATAATATTATATAGCCATTTGTTTGCTGTGGTTAAGAGAAAAAGTCATTACCTCATTTCACAACACTGAAGATCTTATATGGCTATGCATATTGTTCATTTCTAACAAAATCGTTAAAGATTCCATGTTAGTATCTTTTCTGTCTCAGAAGTATGATTTAGGAAGTCATTGATTGCCACTGATAAAATGGTTTAGCACTTAATGTGTTTAGGGATATAATGCTGTCTGTTAGTTTCAAAGTGTACCTTCATCTCTTGCCCTCTTTTTCTACCCCAGTGTTGAGGGTTGAAAGTATATCATAGTGTCGGGGTCGCTCCCGGCCGGCAGGAAAGACACACGACAAAGTCTGGCGGTGTGCAACCTTGCCTTTATTTATCTCCGCGTGGGCCCCGCGAGGCCTCCACTCTGCCACCAGCCCTTTCTCGCCGGTGGACTTTTTCTATCTCTCTCTGTGCTTTCTCTGTGCTTCCTGTCTCGTGGCGGGAGAGGCATTCACTTTTATAGGGTGACAGTGGCCAATCAGTTCAAAGCGCGCAATGCGGGCTGATTGGCTAACATCAGTTGTTGCTAGGCAGACTATCTTACAGAGCGGGTTGTTTAAGTCGCCAGCGCAATCAGGGGGCAGGAAGCAGGCGCCAACTTGACTCACTCGATGGGAGGGGCAATCTAGCTCAGGCCCCGCTCCCACCCACAGGCCCTACTTCCGCCAAGTAAGGCGACCGGTGTCGGCGGCTCCCAACATCTCCCCCTATTTTATTTACTTTGAATGAATGTATGCATTGCAGCCCGCCCTGGATCGAGTGCAGAGGCTTATGCCCTGTGTTGAGGCCCACCGTAGGCCCTTGGCTTGGACCCTGGTCGGCCGCCCCCGGGTCTGCCAAGGCCTTGAGACCCTCGTCCTTTTTCCAGGGCCAGGAGTGAACTGGACGGAACCTGGATGCACATAGGCATGCACTCATGCCCCTCCGTGTGATCCCCTCGGAGAGGCATCTAGATCTGGGCAGATTCTAGTAATCCAGCGGCTTTCGTGCGCCATGGGGTAGGGCCTGGCTTAGGTCGAGTCGTGCTGGGGAGGCACGCTCTTACCCGTCATTGACTCACCTACCCTGCTGTGTGGTGTCAATAGCGAAGGAATGCGGAAGACCCGCCACACCTAGACCCAGTCGTAGGCCAGTCGAGCGAGCCATGCGTAAGCCTGGGGGTCATTGTGCCCATCACGGGCTGCTGCCAGGGCCGCATGGGCAACCAGGCGTACTTGACGCCGGGCCGCCGCAAGGCGCCCATTAATAAATGATGTAACCCATCGGAGCAAGAATGGTCCTATAAGCAGGAGCAAGAACAAGGAGCATAGAGGGCCTAACAAGGGTAGCACATAGGGGAGCAAGCCGTTCCAGGCCCCCAAAAAGGGATTGTCCTGCAGTTCTTTTAGGGCTCATCTTGTTGTTGGGTCTGCGGTTGGCCTCTGGTGGAACAGGCCTGATCTTCAGTCGAGGGACTTGTCGCAACCTCTCTGGGACCCACAGTGGTTCTCGTCCCGATTCCTGCAGAAAAACACCGCGCCTCGGTTCCAGCTAACCACCGGATCCGGGCCCATCCATTGTCATGCCATAGATAACCGCGCCTTTGGAGGCAGGCCTTGGCTTACTCCCCCTTTTTGTTTTTTATTTTTTATTTTTTATTTTTTTTTATTTTTGGTCTTTTTCGTTTTTTTTTTTTTTTTTTTTTATCGGTGCCAGGGATCGAACTCGCGATTGCCTGCTTACAAGGCAGGCGCTTATGCCGCTGAGCTAAATCCCCAGCCCCCGTTTCCTCGACCGGCGTTTTTCTCAGCCTGCTCGGCAGAGTAGCCGCCCATGAAAATACCGTCCGCCCCGCAGCGCAACGTCATAGGACGGCGGTCGCGACAGAGTGGAACGGGGCGTCACTTCCTGTGCCGGCTGAGAGAAGGGAGGGTTCCCTGTAGCGGCCTCTCGGCGGGGAGCCACTTTTGGAGAAGAGCTCCAGGGCGGAGCGGATGGCTCTCTATCTCCTCCCCGCCAGAGAGCGCTCGGGGGCCCTTTTTCCTCTCTCTGCTTTTTTCGAGCGGCGCACGCACACAATTCGCGGCGCAACTCGGCATAGGAGTCAAGGCACGCATGTATCATTTCCCACAGGGGGCGAATAGCCGGCGAAATATCGCCTCCCAATTCCGCCGAGGCGAGGTCCCCGCCTAACTTGTCCCATGACGGCAGGTTTAAATGCCCTGTGGGTAAAAACCAGGGAGCCACCCTATCTACCTCTGCTATGAATAGTTTTAGTGTTTTTTGACCTACCCTGAGGTCTCTAGCTTTTAAAAGCTTCCTAAGGGCCTTTACCAAGGGCCGCGCCTCTGCGCTCGGTAAATTACCCATTTTTAACCTCTAAGGGCTGTTACTCACCGCGTGTGACTTAAAGAACCCGTCACCTACGCGTGAGCCTGAGGGGAGTCTAAAAGCCCTGTAGGTGCGCGCCACCCAGAGCCCAGGCTTATCCCCAACTCACCTGTCCGGCAGCACCACGCTGGAGCGTTGCACACCACCGCCGTGTCTCGGGGTTGATCAGTCCCCGTACGGGCCACCAAATGTCGGGGTCGCTCCCGGCCGGCAGGAAAGACACACGACAAAGTCTGGCGGTGTGCAACCTTGCCTTTATTTATCTCCGCGTGGGCCCCGCGAGGCCTCCACTCTGCCACCAGCCCTTTCTCGCCGGTGGACTTTTTCTATCTCTCTCTGTGCTTTCTCTGTGCTTCCTGTCTCGTGGCGGGAGAGGCATTCACTTTTATAGGGTGACAGTGGCCAATCAGTTCAAAGCGCGCGATGCGGGCTGATTGGCTAACATCAGTTGTTGCTAGGCAGACTATCTTACAGAGCGGGTTGTTTAAGTCGCCAGCACAATCAGGGGGCAGGAAGCAGGCGCCAACTTGACTCACTCGATGGGAGGGGCAATCTAGCTCAGGCCCCGCTCCCACCCACAGGCCCTACTTCCGCCAAGTAAGGCGACCGGTGTCGGCGGCTCCCAACATCATAGCACCTGTTACTGTGAAAACATTGTATTAAGGAGAGCTGTCATCCTTGTTTAGAACATTTTTGTTTATATTTTTATCTCCTGTGCTATCTCCTCCTTAGAATATCTGTTTAGCTTCTGGCCCTTGTGTATTCTTGTATGTCCTTGTATATTCTTTTTGTATGTATATATAACTACATTACTTTGATCTTTCCTTTCTGTAGTCTTATCAGGTCCACTCAGTGGCCCAGGCTGTGCTCAAGCTCATGGTAGTCCTGCCTCAGACTTCTTGAAGGCTGGGATTACAGGCACAAACCATGATCCCCATATCCAGCTGTACTTCTTAATCTCTGCTACATCAAAAATTTTCATCTGGGTGTGGCGGCGCCCTGGAGGCTGAGGCAGTTGGATCGTCATGAGTTCAAGGCCAGCCTGATATACATAGTGAGACCACATGTCCCCAAAAAAATACCATTTTTTCAAGATAATCTGAGAAATCGGGAATTGAGTCTTTTATAAGGACTTAATCGTTCTTTGTTATTTGGGTTTTTTATTGCTTGGTGGCCCAAGGTTAGTGATGAACTTTTTAGAACTTGGAATGAAAGACTAGAGGACATTTATATCAAGTTGTATATTTATATCAAGTAGCTTTATATATGAACATACTGTCAGTGATTACGAGAACACAAATTAACCATAAATGGGGCTAAAAGGTAAAAATTGCTGCTTAATTGCATTGGAACTCTTAAGAGAGTTTAGATCAGATATGGATAAGAGGTTCCAGAAGCCAGTTATTTTTTTTAACCTCTATTTTCTTTAGTTTACTAAGCCTAAAAGGTTATTATGGATTATACAGTTTTAACTGATCTGTGGCATTACTTCCATTTAAATGACTGCAGCAGTACCTGTTTCATAATCTAAACTATACAGAAATGGTTTTGAACATAGCTAATTAGAATGTGACTGTAGTGTTGAGAAAATGTGAAAGCAGTTACTGGGAGAACAATTATGTGCAGTGAGCTTTTAGTGAAAGAAATTAAACTTCTAGTCTTACATTCTACTTTTGAGCACTTCATAATGAGAATTGGTGGTATCATCTTTAAAAACTTTTAAAGTTATAAAAACCTGTGTTTTTAGGTTCGCCGTGTCTCCTTTGCGGATCCAATATACCGAGCAGGGTTGGCAGACGACATTGATAGGCGATGCCCTCTTGTTAGGTCTCATTCTTCAAATAGTTCACCTATAATAAGAAACGTTAAAACTTCACCTACTTCACAGACAAAGGTAAGCTGTGGGCTTAAAAATACTGTATGTGTATAACTTGTCTTTAGGCTAGCTGTTGAAGAAATAAACCTTTGGTTTAGCCATATTTCTGTGCTTTGTGGTAAACAGACATGAAGGAGATGGTAAGAGATATGATAGTCTAGCAAGTAATTGATCAGGCACTTCATTGTTTGATGTTTTCTAAAGTTAAGAAACATAATTACAGTGTAAGTTACAAAAATCAAATTGTAAATTTACAGTTGTCTAGGGTTCTGAGTTTTTTTTCTTTCTCCTTTCTGTCTAGCATAATACCACTTCAGCCAAAGGATTTCTGTCTCCAGGATCACGTAACTGTAAATTTAAGAGCTCAAAGAAGTGTTTAGTAAGAAGTGCTTTAGTTTTCATGTCTCTTTATACTTTTATGTTTAGTCAGGTGACCTCTTAACAGCTTTTGAAATTTATTCTAAGATTACAGAAATGGCCAAAGAGTCCATATCATGCCTCACAGAAAGTGTTTACCCACCTTTGATGAATTGTGCAGCACCAGTTGACATAATTTTACCTCAGATTACCTCTAACATGTGGTAAGTGGTTATTTAGGCTTCTGTTTTATATAAAATGTCACTTAAGAAAGTTTGAATGATCAAAGTTGTATTTCGAATTGATTGACATGTACTTTTCCTGCACATACTGTATTTCAGAAAAATGTAGCTTGAAAGGCCATGAGCAGCATTCCTTGAGGAATGTGAATATTACTTTTCCTTTCCCAAGTGAATTAACTACCAAAATCTCAGTTAAACTCACAGCTAAGCAATCTAACAATATAGTTTAAAAAGCCAGTAAGTTGTCATGTATGCTAATCATGAAGTTCAGTTAGATAAACCTTGTGAGGTTTTAAAATTTTTATTTTTTTAAACTAAAAGTTTGTTTCCCTAGTGTCTAAGAAAGTTAAATGCCTGTGGGTAAGCAGTTCTGGATTGCCATATCTTGATTAAAAGAATTGGTTTTTAGGTATTTCAAGATAATTTCTCTTTAATTGAATTATTAACCTGCCCTATTATGGTATATTCATCAGTAGGACATGAGCTGTTCTTCAGTAAATTATATGTGTCAGACATACATGAAGTCCATGTCTGATGCATAATAGCTAAAGGCATGGTACATTGAAAACGTTCTAGATTAGGAGACTTAACAGTAATATGTCCCAACCATAGATAAACCTAACAATGGTAACTACCCATCTGTATGTATGATAACATTTAATGTGTATTTATATATACTTAAGGAAATCTTAAAAATTCGTCTTTATTAGAGACTTGATGGCTGGGAGTGGTGCTGTATGCTTGTAAACCAGCACTCGGGAGGCTGAGACAGAAAGATTGTCATAAGTTTGAGGCTAGCCTGACTATAGTGTTCAGGATCAAGCTGAACTATAGTTAGAGTTTGTTTTTAAAAAAAGCCTAAAAAGTACATAAAGAGTGACAAATGCGTGCAGTGGGATTGTTTCTAGTATAATTGCTTAAGCCAGACATTAAGTATGAGATTAAAATTTTATTTTAAATTAGACATATATGCCTGCCTCACTGTCAGCCAAATAACAAATGAAGTTACGAGTCAGTATCTAAATAATATTGTGGATTAAATAATAAATGCAGTTATGAATGAGTATCATTGTTATTGTTTTGTTTTGACAAAGATCTCCCTCTGTAGGCCAGGTTGGCTTTGAATTCAGTGTAGCACAGGCTGCCCTATGACCTACAGTGATCCTTTTGCCTTAAAGTCCGAGTGCCTTGATTATAGGTATGCACCACTATATTTAGTTGTGTTTAAGTGGGGAAATTCAGCTGAATAAGTCATGAAAAATACCATATAAAAACCAGATACATTTTTACTCTTAATACTTTTCAGGGCAAGAGGTCTAGGACAACTCATCAGAGCGAAGAATATAAAAACTATTGGGGATTTGAGTACTCTTACAGCATCAGAAATAAAAGCTCTTCCTATTCGTTCTCCAAAAGTATCGAATGTAAAAAAAGCTCTCAGAATATATCATGAACAGCAGGTAAAAACTTAGATGGTATTTACAAATTACATGTTAACAATTGATCTAACAATGCAGTTACAGATGACTGTAAACTGTCATATAGTCATGTTTTTGGTCCTTCCACTCCCATCAAGAGCACTTTTTATTCCCATAGTAAAGTTATTCCTTTGTTTTGTACTGTTTGTAGATTGTATCCCTTGGGTTTATTTTTTGAGTATGCCACATTTGGATAGGGGAGGAGTACGGGGTTGGTGGTTGAACCCAGGGCCTTTGCAGGCTTTCATATCACCAGCCCTTTTTTATATTTTTAATTTTGAGACAGGCAGGGTCTCATCCCATCCCAGGCTGGGATGAATTGTTTATCCCTGTACCATGGCTTCCCAAAGTGCAGGCATGTATTATCAGGTCCACCTAATGTTTTGATTTTGTTATCTTGCACATTTGGATTTAAGTTCTTTTACTTCTTATCAACATTTTGTACATAAACATATGAGTCTAATGAAAGCTAAGATTCTTACCCCCATGAAAATGTATGCAGAAAATTTTATATACAGGTTCGGGATTTACAGATTTCCTAAAAACCCATTCAGAGATCCATCCATTGACACTATTAGAATTTGTCGATAAATGAAAAAAATAAGAGTATGTTAAGAGTGAATACTGGTGTTCTAAATGAGATTTTTTTCTCTCTTTAAAGTAAAATGGATTTTTAAAAAGGAAAGAAGTTAGATTTGCTTAAGGCGTTTACCAGCTACTGATCGATTTTGTATTCTTAAAAATCATTGATTTGTATTGTTTGTCATCCTCAAAAACATTTGCTGACCTACTGCTTTATCAATAACAACAAAAAGAGCTAGCCCTGTTTGCACATTCCTGTAATCCTAGCATTCTAGAAGGCTAAGAGGATCTCACAAGTTCAAGCCTAGCCTGAACAAGTTAGCAAGCAAGATTCCTGTCTGAAAATAAGAGCTAGGAATCGAAGGCCCTGGATTCAATTCCCAGTTCCACCGAGAAAAAACGGAACAAAAGAGTAAAATACTCAGACTGTACTAGGTATAGATTGGGTTTCTCAAATATTTTCTCATTTCACATGCATGGGCACTGGAAAATTGTATGTAATTAATGAGCAGCAGTATAATATACCATAAAATGAATTCATAGAGTATATAATTAAATCATTTAGTATACTCATAGATTTATACCACCAATCACATGATCTAATTTAAATCCATTATGAAATATAAATTCCCAACCCTCCCTTTGAGGAAATTCTGTGTAATCCTGTGTGTGTGTGTGTGGACACAGGCTCTCACTAGTTCAGGCTGGGCTCAAATTCACAGTAATCCTCCTGTCTCAGCATCCAAAGTGCTGGGCTTATAGGCATGCAGCACTACACCCACCACTTTTTTTTTTTTTTTTTTTTTTGAGTCATTGTGGCATTGAACTCACTTTGTGGCGAGGCTGGTGCAGTAATTGTCCCATCTCAGCTTCCTGTGTCCTGGGATTACTGATGTGCTACCATACCCCTTGTTTTTTATTTTTTACACCTGTTCATAGCAGTATTAACTGGGTTAATGTTACAGGTTTTATAACATATGCTCCAAATATTACATGCGTTTCCAACATTTGTAGTATGACTAGTGTTAAATAGGTATGTAACCCTATAATCTGTTATGCAAGAGGATCAGAAATTTAAGCCTCAAGTACACCACTTAACCGTCTAGCAAGAATCTGTCTCAGAGTAAAAAAGAGCTGGTGTTGTATAACTTGGTGCAGAGTCCCTGAATTTAATCACCAGTTCTGCAGAAAAACGAAGGAAAAAGTAATTTTTGACTTGTAGTTTTGTGTTTTTGTTTTTTTGCTGTTGTAAATGTATAATCAAGATGAAATCTCATGGACTTGAAGAAATTCCGGTTTTTGATATTTCTGAGAAAACACTAAATGGAATAGAAAATAAATCAGCTGACGAAGAAAGACTTGCCTCAGGTACAGTTTATTAAAATGAGATAATTTTATTTAGAGAATCAACTAACTTGAAAAATAATTTGTTATGCTTTTAATTTGGCCAGGCTATATGAATTCAGTAAGTTCATTGGTGCTTAATATGAAATATATGAAAAAATAACAATTTAATCCTAACTTCCAGTTCTTCAGGGTGTCTAATAAATATAGAATGTACATTCTGTTAGAGCTCTATTAATTTAAAAAAAGGCATTTCTTTACTAACAGGAGCTCTGATTTTTTTTTCCTACCATGTCATTTCCTTGAAAACCAGTTGTATCCCAGTCTGCTTCCTTAGACATTTAAACTTATAATTTGATAGGAGATACATGCATGTTAACTTTTAACCTGTACAGTTTAATATCCTTTTTTTTCTTAGATTTGATCGATCCTGCTGCTTTAGAAACTCCATTATCGAAAAATCTTGTGGCACAAATTAGTGCTCTTGCGCTTCAGTTGGATTCTGAGGATCTCCATAACTATTCAGGAAGTCAGCTATTTGAAATGCACGAGAAACTTGGTTCTATGGCGAACTCTATAATAAAAAATCTGCAGTCACGTTGGAGATCACCAGCCCATGAAAATTCTAGTTAGTATCTTAAGAGAAAATTGAAGATTTTAAAACATCACCATATTTCCTGATTGATAAACATGTTCTGGCATATTGCAGAATTTAAAAGAGGAAAGTGTTTGCAAAGTTAGTAACATCTAACACCATGAAAGACAGTGATTTTATTGTGTAAGTGCAGTTTTTAATTTCATTAGGTAAGTTTTTTTTTCTCCACCACATTTTCTTGGCTATGTGTAGTTTTTCATGAAAAGTAAATATTTCACTGAAATTGAAAGCAAGAATAGAAACAAGCTACATTTTATTTTGTACTTTCGACTCTTGCTTATTTTGGTGATCTGTGTAATGAAAAATAGGTGAAATTGAAATTTTTTTATTTGAATTTTGCTGAACTGATAAACATGTTTATACTTGGGTTTTGTTTTTACCAGAGGTTTGGGAAATGGTTTCCTAGTAAAACACTTCAAATGAGATGTAAAAAAAAAGAGGGGGCCTTCACCTCCCTCCCACATAGATGTCACTTTAGACAGTTTAGAAGAAGAAAAAATACCAAGTTTCAACTTCCTAGGTTAAAATATTGATGCAGAATGTACTAAAATCCCATTCCTTTGCATTACCAATTTGGGCAGCAGCATTTGCCTATGAAAATTTACTCTAGAGATAACAGTATTCATTTCTCAATGTATGACTGTACATTATGTATAGATGGCATTTAATTTATAAATCTCAGCCTTCATTGATTTTTTTTCAGTTGTGAATACAGTTTTGTTTAATTGAAATATTTGTATATATTTAATACTGAATTATCAATATAGGCAGTAGAAATACTTCATGGGCTTGCTGCAAATACTTGTAGTATTCTGTATCTACAAATAAAACAGCACATAGTTTTTGTACTTAGTTAATAGTGTTGGTTAAAACATGGGTTTATTTTCTAAAGTGTCCAAAAAGTAAAATTTATTGAAATGAGAAAATGTTACATGACAACTTTGCTATTCATGTCCTTTTTCTTTTGGTTTGGAAGAAGATACCAGCCACTAGAAAGTGTGTCTCATTAACATTTCTTCTTAATGAAGAGTTAGTTTGAATATTTTTTCATTGCAAGTTGGACTGTAAGAAGTCTAGAGATAACCTGCTTTTTCCACCTATACCTAAAAGTAAACTTGGATAGAGTTTGAAACTGCTCTTTTTATATGTGTATGTATGTTTTGCCAAGTTTCAAAATAGAGCGTGTAATTAAAACATTTGTAAATTTCACCAAGTAGTGTTAGTGCCTGGTTTCCCATGTATGTTATGTCTTTGTGTGCATGAGACAGAGACAGGGACTTGCTGTATATAGTCCAGGCAGACACGGAGCTATGTCGCCCAGGCTAGTCTTGAATTTGAGATCCTCTAACCTCAGTCTCTGCTGAGCACCCTGATACAGGTATATGCCACCTTGTCCAGCTTATTTGTGGGTGCGGGTGTGGGTGTATGTATGTGTATGTGTGTGTGTGTTTAACTAGAATTTATCTCACTTGTCTGATCAAGTCAGAAGTGCATCAAGTCATAGGATCTTTAACCTTTTGTCTACTTTAAGGTCTCCCTTTCCATTAGGGACCTTCAACCAGTCCCTGTAAAAATTGATCTTTTTCAAAATCAAAAATATTGTTAATACATTTTTGGTTTGAAATATACACCCATATATCACGTGTGTGTGATACATGTAAACAGTGATTTTTAAAAATTCTGGGGTTGTTGAATTAAGAATTGTAGCTTGATTTAAAAAAAAACTCAATTTTAAAAAAGTGAAACACAGTTGTGGTTTACATTGATATTATATATCTGTAATCCTTTAATATCTTAGGACCTTTAACAAAGTCCACTCCTTCTCTTAAGAACCTACCTACCTTCTTTTCTTCCTTCCTTCCTTCCTTTCTTCCATCCATCCATCCATCCATCCATCCAGAGACAGGATCTTTCTGTATATTCAGGCTAGCCTTGAACTCACTGTGTAGCCCAGGCTGGCCTTGAACTTACAGTGAACCCTCCGACCTCAGCTTCCCAAGTACTGGGATTTTTCTGTCATATTTAATACTGAAGAGGCATGAATTTGTAGTGAACAGGATGAGTATGGGTAGGAAAGGGTATGTTTGGAGAAGGAATAGCTGCATAGTTTAATGCAGGTACAGTTCAGAGATAAGAATCAGTTTATTTCACGATTGCATGCCATAAGGTTGGTGTGAACTGTTCTCATGTGTTGGTGGGATGAAGCTCTTGGGAAACTAGAATACAGCGGAAAATGTGGCTAAAATGATTACCATGTAAGTGCTAATACTAGTTAAGTTGTGGTTCATTGAAATTGTGTTTAAAAATACTGTATGAGGCCTAATGTGAGCTTGTTAAATCTTTTTAATTGCTGCGGTGACAAGCATATATATGAATCACCTTACGTCAGTATTCACTGCAAATGTCTCCCCGAAGTAACAAAAGCATTAATATTTTTTTGGTAGGCTCCAGTGTATTGTTTCATTAATAAAAATAGATGTTTTTTCCTAGGTCTTTTCTGATCATTAATAAAACATGGCAGATACTACATTCAGATCCAGTTTAATAATTACTTGTCTTGAATCTAATAGCATGCAGTGTAATTTTTAATACCTATGAAATCTGTTGGACTTAAGTTTTCAGTATTTGAGTCCATTATTTAAAGATACTTGACTATTTCAACAAGTTTAAACCATTGGAGTTTTACTCTTAATTCCAAATAGTATAGATTGGGTCACATTAATCCTTCTAGGGATAATATAGTCAAATAAAGGATTGAAATCTGAATTTTAAAAGCATGATTGTTAGCTGACATTGCTCATGGATTCTTTTTTCAGTATAATTTGAAGGTAGCCACAGATTCTATTACCTTTTCAGGATTATATAAGTATCATTAATTGCCAGAACAACAAATAAAATTGGAGGAAAAAAATAGAGATCTGTATCAAAGTAGGATTTTAAAGGAATGAAAATACTAGAAAAAATTGCTGTTGGAAAAGCTAGTTGGTTGAGATTTAGTAGATGGAGAAGGCTATGTTATTAAATACATAATTCACTTTATCCATAAGCCACTTGAAAACCTTTGTTTCATACATACAAAAACATGCACACACATGCGTATTAGGCTGACCTTCAGATTTTTAATAGTGCTTTTCCAACTTACAGGGTGCAAGTAAAATTGTGAATTCTGCTTAAGTAGATCTCAGTTGGGGCCTGAGAGTTCACATTTTTAACAGACTCCCATAGTATTTACAAGTACTGATGTCTATTATTTGTACTTGTAATAGATTTAAAAGACTCCAAGCCTTTATGTAACATTTGCTAACCTAAGCAGATTTGTCTTAAGATTATTATAAAAGTAATGGTAAACTTTTATAAATTTCTGAAGTTGAAGAATTGAGAATGCAAACTGATTCTGAAGCCATCAATATAAAGTCTAAAACTTTTTGAAAGTTACGATCAGAATTTTGTGTCTTTCGGAGCTTCTATAAATAAAGGATTCTTAAAAAATAGGTACCCCTGAGCCTCATGTTGGTAAAAACCTTATTAATATATCAGATCAGATAGCATTTTCTCATGAGTATATGTGGATCATGGTTTCAATTTTTGTTAATAGGAAAGTTAAGTTTTTCAAATAATCAGAAATATAGTCAGTCTAAATCTTGCTGTCATTTTATTTAATAAACCTTAAAAAGAGCATAATCTCTTAAGATTTGTTTGGTATTGGTAGTGAAATCTCATCTGACATGCTGAGGACTTCTGGTAACTTAATTTGTTGTTCTGTTACTTAGTGAAGAATTTGTTTCATTGTAAGGTGTTATTTGAAGGATACAGTTGAATAATTTGGTCCTTAAAGTGAATTTTTCTATAGATTGAGCTTGGATATTGAGTTTCCCTTAAGTGTTTCAACACTATTTGTAAGAGCTGCCCATTCAAGAGACCAGAAAATTTAACCAAAAGTTGTGTGTAGTAGGACTTTGAAACTGGTTTATCAAGATTTATTGGTTAAAGTGAGGCATGATAGCTCATTTCTGTAATACCAACATCTTGGGGGATTGAGGTAGAATTGAGTTCAAGGTCAGCCTAATCACTTACCAAAAACTTGTCTCAAACATTTGTTTATTGATGGTTTAATTTAATGGTTTCTTGTGGCCCAATTAATGGGATATTTACTCTATGCCAAGTTTAAAGCTTCACCTTTCAAACTTGAAGATCTGTATGCAGTCTTAAAGAACTATGAAAATTCAGTTCTTAGAATACACGTTAAATTTTACAATGTGGTTTTAACCATTTTTCCCTTTATATACTAAACCTTTCTCCAAAGAATGATTTGATTTGTTCTTTAAATCCAAAGATGACATGCTAAGCTATAGCCCCTACTCTTCAGTAAGACTATTGAACTGAAGGCTGTCTTTCCAATTGTTATGTTTACCAAGTTATAATTGTGGAAAATGCTAAGCTTTTTCACTAGAGAGTGATAAAGTGAAGGACGGGAAAGGAACATTGAGCCAAAATTTTAATGATGAAATTACACTTTTGGATGTTGGGAGCAGGAGTCCACAAACTGAAGGTAGCTGTTAACCATACCTGAGAGCTGTTCTGTACCAAACAGTACCATAATTGCTGTTTATAACCCCTTTGAGTGACTTTTTAAAAAGTAGTTTAGCATTGCCCCATACATACACCAGCAATAAACTAATCATCTCCAATAGAAGACAGCTTCGTTAAGTGGATAAAAAATGTGAGTGGGAAGTTTACCTTTAAAATAGTGTTAGGGAACTGAAAATGGAATATAGTATAATTATTTTTATATATATAATTGAATGATTAAAGGGTGTTTAAAGCATTTTATTTTTATAGGATGAAACCTTTGTAAAAGAAAATGAATGTAAGGTGGACCAGTTTTTGAATATAGACATTGAATGGTGGCGTTCTTAACTAAGTCTTTATATAAGGACCAAACAGCTACATCTGCCACCAGTTTTGTACTTCCCATGAGTCAAAATGAGTTTTTATATTTTCTATATGATTGGGAAAAGTTAAGACTATTTTGAAAATGATGAAAATGCATAAATATCAACTTCAGTATCTAAAAGTAAAATTGTTTTGAACCATTAGTCACTCATTTACATACTGTTTACTGTTGGCTGCTTCCTTGCTTCTGTGGCAAAATTGAGTAGTCTGACACAGATGTATAACCAACAACTACTAAAATATTTACTATCTGACCCTTTTCAGATTTGTCAGTTCCTATTATGAAAGATTATTTTGTTCATCTCTGACACATAGTTGATTTGCTTCTTGCAGGCTTGGCTGTATTCTGGATTCTCATTTTTTAAATTTTTATTTTGAGATAGGGTCTTATATGCAGTTCAGACTGGCTTTGGGCTCACTTTGTAGCCCAGGTTGGTGTCAGACTTCGAGCAATCGTCCTGCCTTAGCCTCCTGTGTGCTGGGATTACAGGAATGTGCCACTCGTGCCCTGTTCTCTTTTGTCTTTTACTACTACCCAAATAGGCATACCAGCAGGTACTAGTACTTTCTTAGTTTGTTTTTGGTTTTTGGTGCCGGGGATAAAACTCATGACATCGAATTTGCTAGGCAGGTGCTTTATGCCGCTGAACTAAATCCCCGGCACTAGTACTTTTTAAAAATAATACCTTTTTATTCCTAAACTCTTAGAGTAGCTGTTTGCCATGAAAACAAGGGACTTTGGTTTGAGGGAAAAGAATCTAGCATGGATATGTAACACTTGTGAAATAAATTAGGCTATAGAAGTTTGCTTTTTCTAGCAGTGAATTACCGGTTGCTTTCAGTCTAACTCCACCTCCTGTGGATAGCCCTAACTGATGTGCACTTAGAAAAAGACTAAGAACCAAGCCAGTCATTTGTATTTTTGTTGGCATCACTTGGCAGACTCAGCTTTGAGAATTAAGTTGAAAGTTAAAATATCTGTAATTAACTGCACTAAATGACAAGGTACAGTTTTATTTACTCATGTAATACTTTGTCTAATGCTTGTAGCAGGTAGAGCTATACCTTTTTTTAATTGGTATTTCTGTTTCGTTTTGATGGTTGAGAATCTGATGCACAGTAAAACCTGTCATGAATTGAGAGTTGACTGTTAGTTGAAACTGGTTATTGTAACCTTCCCCCTCACCCCTTAAAAAAATGCACTTTTTACCAAGAATAAAACCATTAAAATCTAAATTCTGGTGTTTATTTTATTTATTTATTTATTTTGCTTTTGGTCTGAGTTCTTTGTATATCTAGCATAATCCAAATACAAATGTATGTGAACATTTTATTCCACTGTCATGAACCTTTCCTCATTTTTACCATTTTTTATTGCCTGCTTTTAAGATTTTAAAGCAGTTTTCTTAGTTTTATGAGTTCTACAGACTTAACTATATTAAGTGAGGGGGCTGGGGATTTAGCTCAGCGGCATAAGCGCCAGCCTTGCAAGCAGGCAGTCGTGAGTTCGATCCCTGGTACCGATAAAAATGAAAAAGACAAAAAAAAAAGAAAAAAAACTATATTGAGGAAAAAGTGATCTCACAAGATAATGCCTTACTGTTCCAGGACTAGTAGAACAGTCCTGTGTGTAACTGGAGGCTTATAGAAGCATTGTCCCAAGATCTGACTTCATCTTCACATGCCTCTCTCCTTGTGTGCATTTTTGTCCAAACTGCCCATTTCTAAGGACGAAATCTATTGGATTAGAACTCACTCTAAAGATCTCAACTAAACCCGAGTTTCTTGGGAACACAATGCAACTGAAAACATACATTTGGGCCTGAATTTTGGCTGTGGTATAACCTAGAGAAAAATTGTCTTAAATTATTTTTTTTTGTCTTAAATTTCTTGATTGAATGGTCACTAAAGTTACTCAGATCTGTATTCTGTAGTGAAAATAGAACTTCCCCATATTGAACTGGTAGAAAGGGGACACAAATCACTTGAAATTATCAATTTTGAGCACGACATTTCCAATTTTGAAAATGTGGTTATTAGTACTTTTTGAGATGTACAGAGAAATGTGAGTAAAAAGGTTTCACTTTAAGAGAGGAATCAGGGAAAACAAACTGGGCAGCAAATGGAGGATTCTTGTTTTTTAAGCTTTAAAAGATACAGAATTTAAAGTATGTTTATAATCTGGTTTATGACAAGTGTAGGATATAAAAATAGCATTTAAAAACTATTACCAGTCAGTTGTACTTTTAATCACAATTGCTACAAGATATTTCCAAAGTTTGGGGATATTTTCACAGTCTTGCTATAGCCTACCTTAACTTGGGTTATTAGTTTACCTGAAGATTAAAGAAGATTATAGAAGAATTAGGAAAGTATTTTTCCACCATTAAGATTCTTGGGTGTTGTTTTAGTTTTTGATCTACAGCGTATCTCAAAGGCCTTTGTGTTAAAAATGTGGTCCATGTGCTGTTGAGGTTATGTCCTACTATTTGGAAAAGGGGCCAAACATCCTGAATGAAAAGAGCCTCTTGACAAATGGTGCTGGGAAAAGTGACTTTCTGTGTATTAATGACAGCCTAAACCAGTATCTTGCCATGTACCAAGTTAAAATTGAAATGCATCAAAGATCTAAACATTTAACACTTAATTTGCTGGAAGATAGAATAAGTAAAACTATTGAAGACTTGGGTGTAAGCAAAGACTTAGCAAAACCTCCATTCCACAGGAAATATAAACAACAGATCATATCCAGTTAAAAAGTTCATCACAGGAAACCACTGACATAGTGAAGAGAAACTTGCATGAGAAATGGTTTTCGGGACCATTATCTAGAGTGTATAAAGAAAGCTAAAAGTTAACCTCTCCTGATTTTAAGGCCCAATTGAAAAATAGGTGCCTGAAATGAATAGACACTTCTGAGGTGAAGTACAGACAGCCCTAATGAAAAAGTGCCCAACATCGGTGGCAATTAAATGCAAAATAACACTGGAATAACGTCTCCAGGAAGAATCAAATGTTGGCAAGATGGGAAAAAGAACATAACTGGTATAAACCATTGTGGAAATTATTAGGGAGATTTCCCAAGTAAATGGTTAGGGATTAGGAAGATGTAAAGTCTTCAGCAGCAACAATTCAACTCCAAGATTTGGAATCTAGATGCCAGGAAAAAAAAAAAAAAAAAAAAGTTGGGGAAGAGGAGGGAAAATGGGTTTCTGGGAAACTAGGAAAAATCTAAAGGGAAATTTGGAGTCTACAGAGAATGAAGAAATCACAATGCAGAAAAAGGAAGGAACACTTCACTTTACCTCTGAGTCTGGCTTGTGTGAGAAACAAAAACTGAATCTACAGAGACAGTGCAAGTGGTGATCCCACAGGGCCTTCAGGGAGAGTTGCATGAAGAGCAGAGTAGTGAATGCTATAAACTACAAGTGGTGAGTGACTCCAATCCAAGTGACTCTGAATCCCCTGAGAGAGTGCCTGGCCAGATGCCATTTTAGGGAGGAGCCAGCTGAGCCTGACAGTCTCAAAACTAGCTTCATTTCAGGGCTACCCATATTAAGCTTCCCACAGCGACTAGATTAGACACTGCCACAGGAGACATCCACCCAGCTAGAGACCCTGAGTGTTATAAGCTAAACAACTCAGGCCCTACTTCGTGACTAGAGGCTAGGTTCAACATCAATTTCCGTGAATTCAAAATTCTAGGACACTCTACAGCTGGCTGGTAATCCGGCATGATCATAGGCTCTGATGTGCTCTGCTGTCTTCCAGCAAGAGTGTCTTGAACTGGACACTGCCACAAAACTAAACCCTAGTATATAACCATATACTTGGAATCACAGAATTTTGTTTTGTGTTTTTGTTTTTTGTGTGTGAATATTGTCTTGCTTTTTCCATCTTTCCCTCCTCGCTTCTTCACTAGTTCTAAGACTGAGCTCAAGGCCAGCCTGAACTGCATAGTGAGACCTTGTCTCAAAAAGACCAAAAAAAAAAAAAAAAACCCACCCCAAAACAAACACCAGGTAAGTAAGGCATATAAAACTCCAAAATAGCCGTGGTGAGAAAAAGCTACCCTAAAGCATATATTAGTCAAGATTTGAGAAATTTACCGTAAGGATAGAATATTAAAAGCTGTTAGAGAAAAGAAATTACTTAGAAAATCATCAAAATCAGCAAATTTCAGGGCTGGGGATTTAGCTCAGTGGTGTATGTGCCTACCTGGCAAGCATGAGGTCGTGAGTTCAGTCCCTGGTAACCTCCCAATCAGATTTCCTAACCCAAATCCTTTAGGAAAGCTAAGATCAAAGTATTTCAAGCCCTAAAAGAGAACAACCTCCAACATAGATTGATGTAAATTATCTTTTATGGAGAAATGAGATATTTCTATGATGAACACCTGAAGAAATTCATGACTGCCATAGCAGCATTCTAAAAATTTCTGAAGGATACTCTAGAAAAAAACAATTTCAAGAATCGCAACAGAATTAATCTAATAGCAAGCAATTATATGGAGGTAGAAGAATGGATACCAACAGGAAAATAATCAGAAGATAAATTAGTACCATCGGTTATATCCATCAGTGTGAATGATTGAGTTCACCACTCAAAAGAAACATTGGCATAGGAGCCCGCAAGGTGCTTTCAGTCATCTGCCTCCCATTTTCCACTAGAACAGGGTCTTAATCATGGTGGATGTGATGGAGTTGCCCAAGTCACACATCAATGTCAGCGTGCTACCCCTGTTCATTGACTGGCCAGCTTGCTTCATAGGGAGGCTGGAAAGGATCCACTGGATAAACATTAGTCCTTTCAGATGGAGAAGGAAAAAAATCGTACCAGTGAATTAATGAAGCCATTTGAGAAATAATATCTGGAATCATGGAAGTAGTTGGAAGAATAACAGCCAAAGTAATCATCATGTGTGTGTTTTACCTCCAGTTTAGAGAAGATAACAATCTTTTTATCTCAGACTTTACAATGTAGCAGTGGAAATTATCTATGAATTCCCTCAGTTTTTTTTTTTCCTTTTGGAGTTGTGCAACATGAAATTTGATGCATTTTTTTTATGATTACAAGAAGCTACACTGATGAATAGAGGGAAGGAACTCTTTGGTGTCTAATATTTAATTTGTTTTTAAATTTTCATTTACCAAATGTTAGATATTTCAGTATTAACATTTGCAGTTTTTGATGGAGCTAGTATTATTAACAGTTCTCACCTATGTTCTTTTATAAAAAACCGAACACATTGTATGGTCACATAAGATACAACAACAAAGCATCTTGTATTTACATCCACTTATTAATAAAAAGTTGAATGGCAAAGGGAACATTGGCAGAATCTATGAAGAAATAAGATCCAACAATAGCCTACTACAAGAAATACTTTAAACTCAAAAAGAAATTCATAGACAAAATCAGAGGGTGGAAAAAAAAAATACCATGCATGTGTGCCATGCAGCACAAACCAGAAAAAATGCCAAGTAGCTATTCTGTTTGCAAACAATGTGGATTTCAAGTAAAGACTGGTCAGAAAAGGCAAGGTCACTATATACTTGTTAAGGGAACAAGAAATACAGAACAATCATATGCCCCAAATACCATCACATATATATATATGATATATATATATATATATATATATATAACTAACATTAAAATCAGATGAGCACTAATATAATTATAATGGGATCTCAAGACCCCACTTACAAATTGATGGAGTAGACAAAGTCAATGAGGAGACTGAAGAAATGCATTTAGTAGATACCTACAATGTTCCACCCAACATCAGAATATATATTCTCTGTAGCACATGGGATCTTCTCCAAAATGGACTACATACTAGCTCACAGAGCATACTTAGGTAAATGCACGGGAACTGAAATTATCCAATGCGTATTTTCAGATCATAGTGTGATGAAACTGGAAATCAGTGGTAACAGAAACCACAAAAACTACATAACAGAAATTAAATAACACCTGCTTGAACAACCAATGAATGGATCAGAGATTAAAGAAGAAACTTGATACCTCATACAATTAAATATATCATACTGGAACTTATGAGACCCAGTGAAAGCAGTCCTGTGAAATAAATTTGTAACAGTGAATTCCCAGAGAAAAACAGCAAACTCAATAACCTAATGTTGAACCTCAACACTAGGAAAAGAAGTTAAATCCAAAGCTTGTAGGAGGAAAAAAGTTATAAAATTCAGAGCAAAAATTAATGCAATTGG